CCCTCATCCCCTCCCTCATCCCCTCCCTCATCCCCTCCCTCATCCCCTCCCTCATCCCCTCCCTCATCCCCTCCCTCATCCCCTCCCTCATCCCCTCCCGCATCTACTCCCCTTATCTTTATCCCCCTCACTCTCCTCACTTTCCTACTCCCCCCTCTCATCTCCCCGCTCGCCAAAATCGTCCTGCTTTTTGGCACGCCTCTCCCTCGCATCACGACACCTGTCCCCTCCACACCAAGGTCGTTCTGTTCACCATGAAGAAAACGCCCAACGGTACTCCCAACAAGTGGGATCCCCTCCCCGCCATTGACCCGTCTACTCCCAGAGACCTTTGTCTGGACTCGGAAGACACTCATGAGGACGGCTCCCATGATCTCCCTTCTAACGATGATATGTCTCTCAGCGAGCGTCAGCCGGACGCCAATGACACGGTCGAGCCCGTCGCTACTCGGAGGCGCGCCGGCGTCCGCTTCACCCTTCCGCATGAGAAAAGCAGCACTCGTGTCCGCTTCATCCTCCCAAGCGGGGCCGAGTCGTTCTCCAGCCCCTTCTCCAGCCCCTTCTCATCAAAACCTATGGTCGTTCACCGTCGTTATCCGGTTACATGTGAGTATTTTTGCTCTCGAATGGCATTTCCTTTTGCTCGCCCAACTCGCTAACCATAGACAAATATCCGGACGTGGACACGCACGACCCGTCTGCCCAAACGCCGCCCGATGGCTCCAGCTATGGTCCCCTCTACGAGCCGCCTACCCCAGCTGCCGCGGAGCACTACCAGAACGCCGTCACGTCCCCCTCCAAGTTTCTGGACCTCCTCCTCTACGGCCGCAGCGCGACCGAGGAATCTCCCGCCCTCCCAGGCCCCTCGCCCACTGTGCCCGTGGACAACTCTCACCCCCACGCCAAGGGGGACCACATGGTGAACCCCTTCATCGCCTCTGACGCGGCTGGCTCGGCGCTTGTGGGCATCAGTTCCCACCCGATGTCGGCTAATGCGAGCCAGACGCGCACGTCGGCCCCTAGCCCAACGGGTGTCGGCAAGTCCAGGTTCGGTTCGAGGTTCTCGCCCACATCACCGTCCCCGTCCTCGTCGGACAAAGAATGCGATGTGCTGGCTTCCCCCCGCTTTGTTCCAAACAACTGGCGCATTTCGCCCAGGTCCACGCGCGCTTCGGACGACAGTGACGAGGCGGACGAGGAGGGAAAGACGGACATACCCCAGTCCCTCTATGAGCGCTCGCGCTCCACGGCGGCAATCGCACGCTCGCACTGTAGTACCGAGAGGACCGAGCTCAGCATGTCGGACGGTGACAAGGAGACCGGCCACGTCGCCACCGACCTCACCAAATTCGGCTACCAGTCTGACTATGACTCGCAGGACGATGCGATGGACGTGGACAGCGATGATGAGACTGCCTCCGTACAGGCGCAGATGGTCTCCGACTGCTCGTGCACCGGCATGACGCACACCGAGTCCTGCCCGATCTACAAGGGCCCGGAGGACTGCCGTTGCCTCACCCCTACCACGCGCACGCACACCCTAGTGTGCCGTCTTGCCACTGAGGACGCCAACCTCCGGGAGGACTGGAGTGCAGAACCCACCGACGGCAACTACTACGAGGGCAGGGACGACTTCGCCTTCGATTACGAAGATGAGTCCGACCACTTTGAGTCTGACGACGCGGAGATGAGGACCGTCAGGACCCCACCTCCGCGCAAGACGAATAATCGCCGCGGGAACTAGAGTACGCACGGCAAAACGCCCTCGCTTACAGCGAGCAGAGAGGCAAGGCGACGACTCGACTCCCCAATCGCCGTCATGCCACTACAACTACCCCTGTTCACAACGCCGCCCACACGCCCATCACCACCATCCTCCTACTCCCAAACCAAGCCCACCCCCTCATTGTCGACATAAGCATCATCATCATCGATAAAAACACGGCTCGAACTATCAGCACTCCGTCACCCCCGCCTGTACCGAAGTTATCAGCACTGCATCATATCACCTATACTACCGCCTGTGCCAAGCTTATCAACCATACAGCATACCCCGTATACTACCGCCTCTGCCACTTTTTCATCGATGGTACGTGGCGCAGACCAGAGTCCAGCAGAGCCGGTCTCTGTGCAATATCCACACGGTCGTTACACCTCTCTCCACCCGCCCTCCCAGCCCCCCCTCTCCCTCTCGTCGTTGGCACAAGCATCGGCAACAAGGAAAAGACGACTAGACCCATAATCGTCATGTCCTAGCCTGTACCACTTCGATCCATGCATAGCATTTTACAGACAGACTCGTCAGTTTTCCACTCTCACGCCTCACCTCCTGTATCAGCCGCTGTAGGTCGGCCCAACTTACTTTCCCGCTTTTGAATCTGAAATGGAAGCGATGGGAAAGACCAGCGCAGATTGCAGCCCAGAAGCTCAGAATGGCAATGACCGATGGGACGTTTGCACTCTGCTCGAGCGAATGCCAAGGTTCTTGGTAAACACCAGAAAGTTCGCCGTTTGAGAAGCCCACGTTCAAGGATGTCCCCACGGATTCCACCCGACAGCACCTCACAACTCTCCCGAACATGGACTCCGCCTTGAGGTCCACGGCGCACATGCGCTTCATCGCGGGAGTGATTCAAATGAGCTCCTGCAACCTGGGGCCGGCTGGGCCCCTTTGTGCATAGCGCAGGGAGCTTGGCCTGGGAGTGATGGAGCTGTGCCCAGGTGGCGGCCAGCCTGCTGCCGGTGGAGGTGGTTGGAGGTGGTCCATTGGTGAGTGGAGGTTGTCCACTTCGCCGAGCATTGTCGCGGGGCCCTATCCGGATGCAAGGCTGCAGATGTTAGCGAGGCAACTGAAGCGGCCGGGCAGCTGGGCATCTGGCAAGGGGCCAAGGACCCCTCTCCCCGCGCCGTCCGTTCAGAGCGGCATCACTCGCCGCCGCACCAGCCGCACAGCCTCGTGCCGGCCTCGCGCCATCCTGGCCCTCTTTCCATTGTTCGCAACATGCACAGCCAACCCCGACAGACCAGGCAATGCATACTGGGTCCTTGGTATGCCTCCGCGCCGGACGCTTGCCTCCTGACATGGCGAGTTACAATAGAGAGCCTCTACATCTTCACAACTCATCATTCTTGCCGGCGCACATAGAAGACGCACCTCGCCACCATGCCCATCATCCCCTCGCTCTACTCAACTCTCTTCACCTGCCCTCCCCCCTCCCGCCCAGCTTTACAATAGCAACAACGTCAAACCTCAACCTCGACTTGTCTTTCCTTATCCGCTCACTCCTCCACTCCCACACATCACGCCATACACTGCGCGACCGCCCCATCCTCGCCACACACCACACTCCTGCGCCAGCTCCCGCTTCCCACGCACCACAACAACACCGATACTCTCTTCCTCGACACCACACTCTCCATAACCCAATCATGAAGGTCAAGCTACGCAAGAACCCACCGCCGCCCAGCCCACGGCTTCACTCGGGATACAAGGCCATCCGGCCCCGCTGGGGCAGGTCCGCCAAGCCTGTACCCGCGGCCGTGCGCAAGCGCCTCATGGCGGCGGCGGCGGTGACCAAACAGGCCGCCGCCGCCACCGCCAAGAATCCCATCCCCACCGCTTCTGTTAACGCAACCAGCACGGCCAAGTCCTTCGCGACCCCGACCCGTGCTGGCGTATCGACCGCCTATCCCACCCCACCTCGAACCACGACCCCGAAGCAGCGCACACGGCGCTCCCCGGCGCCCTCGCCCACCACCGCTCGGATGCAGCCTCAGCCGACCCTCCGTGCCGTGCTCGCCTCGCGCGGCATCAGCGGGACCGCCGCCGACATTTCCGACGGTTACGAGTGGAGCCCGATCGAGCTTGCAGACGACGTCTCGCGCCAGCTCTGGCCAGAAGCGTGCCCTCCACCGAACGACTGCCCTTCGTGGGCTGCCGGCATGCGTCGCGACATCGATGCGGCCGCCGTCGCTGCGCGCACCCGCACCGCCCAGCGCAAGGCCGAGGGTGTGTTGCCCACGCCAAGTCCCAGCTCGCCACACCCCGCTCGTATGTGGCCCGCAAACCAGCCGCCCTCGCGCTCGACCTCGCCCATCTACCAGCCTCCCTCGCACTCGACCACCCCTCACCAGGCGTCGTACCGTCCATCGCCCCTCGCCCGGACCGCCGCCACCAGCAGAAGCGTTGTTTATATGCCGGCGCCACAGTTCACCGAGCTCCCGTCGCCCGTACCAAATGTCACGCGCCGGCGCCCCGCTTGGACGCGGCCTGGTGGCCCGCTTCCGCCCTTCCTCACACCCGACCAGTTGCCCGCCAACTTCGAGGATCACCGATGGAACATGGCGTATGTCGTGCACGAGGTCGCTGGACTCGAGTGGCACGAGGAGTGCTTGTGTATGGATTGCGACGACACAGCCCTCCGCCGTGTCGGAACTGTGCCAAAGATCTGGCCCGGATTCGAGGTGGATAACCCTTTCCTCGTCGCCTACTTCAATGGGGAGTAAGCCTAGAGTGTATTCCTAGTCGTGTATCAGCAGGGTAGCATGTGTGAGCGCCCGTCAATAGCATTAGACCACCAAGGACAGTAAGAAGTGACCGTAGCGATATCCCGTCACGCACACCAGCGATGCACAGTGCATCACTTCCTGCCCTTGTCCTGCTTCGCCGCTTCTCCCAATCGTCCCACGAGGTTACCAACCACGCCCGCCTGTCCGCCCTGTGCCGCATAGCTCTCGAGCAGATCGCGCACCATGCCGTACTCGCGTCGCCCGTCGTCGTCGAGCCCCTCCATTTCCTCAGACTCATCCGCCCCGCTCTCCTTGAGCGCGGCGCGCAGCTCCGCGTCCATGGCCACGAGCGCGTCGTCCGACATGTCGTCGAGCTCGTCCGGATGCGGGAGGGACGCGAGGTTCGCGTACGGCCCCTTGCGTTCGGGTGCCGACGCCGGCTCGTCTTCTTCGGCAAACGACACCGTCGGCTTCTTGCCCTTGCCCTTTTTCTTCTTCGATCCCTGCGGAACAGAACCAGCAGGCTTCGCGAACAGCGGTCCGCTGGGCTGCTTCGGAGCCTCCGCTGCCTTGTGCCGCGCCAGCTCGCCTTCCATCGCAGCCATCATGCTTTCAAATGAGCTGAGCGAAGGGTCAGGCTTTGGCGCCGCTGCCGTAGCAGCAGCAGGTAGAACAGTTCCGCTCGATGTACCTCCAGCCGACTCAGGGATGAACGCTGATGTCAACTCCGCGCGCAGAGGGCAAACTCACCACCACGCGCCCGCCGCTGCTCCAGAATGCTGTCCCACATGTCACCGTCGATGCCCAACGCATCGCGTGCAAAGCGCAGGAACTCGGCTTCGTCCGGCCCATCGCGGTCCTGCGGCGCCGGCTGGTCCTCGACGCCCTCCATGTCGTCCCCGGCCTCGTCCACTTCCCCGTCTCCGTCGTCGCCCCACACCCGCCGCCGCATTTGCTCGTCGATGTCGTCGTCGAGCGTGAGCGCCTTCTTCCGCTCGCGGTCCATGCGGTCCTCGTCGTCCTCGTCCGCGTCGTCATCGATCTCCTCAATCGTCGCCTCCTTCGGCGGCGCCTCACCCCACTTCATCTCGGCGATGCGCCGACCAAGCGTGCCCTGCGGCGGGAGGTCGTCCTCCTCGTCCGAGGAGTCGCTCTCAACGCCGTCGTAGTGCATCGCCTCGAAGCGTGGTGGGCGCATCTTGGGCGGTAAAAGCGAGTCTCCCATCGCCGTCCCCGCGACCATCCCTTTCTTCGGAGGGGCCATGTCCACGTCGCCATCGCCGTCATCCTCAGCCGCGGCCCCGTTGCTATCGCCGCCCCCCGCACCCCATTCGCCCTCAGGCAACGCCGGGACGAGGGTGCGCATGCGCTCCTCGCGCTCCTCTGCGGTAGGCCCACTCTCCTCCTCCTCCGAGTCCGTGCCCATGTCCTCGTCGCTCAGCTCGTCGGCGAACCGCGCGCCTTCGAGATCACCCTGGCCGCCAACAAAGGCTTCCAGTTGCCCAGCAAGGTTCTTGAGTGCACGCCCGTGCTCCTCACCGATCTCCATCTCGCCGTTGGCCCCACGAGCTCCCGCCGTGCGGTTCAGCATCGCGTCAAGCTCGGCGGGGTCGACCTCGAGCCATGCCTCGCTGTCCTCCTCGCCCGCGGGCGGGAGATCCTCGACCTTCGTCGCCTCAACGGCCTTGTCGACGAGGTACGCAAACGATGGGCGCTGCTGTGTCGTACTACTGTCAGCTGGGCGGGTACGCGCACTCACTCTTCGGACCTGGCCTCGACCCAGCCTTTCGCGGCCTCGGCTTCGCGCGTCTTCCACCGCGCACTCCCGCGCACTTCGTCGCCGAAGTACCCCGCGTGCTGCAGGTCGTCGATGTACCGCGCATACCCCGGCTGGTCCTTCAGCTCGTCGGGCGAAGCGGCCGCGTCCGCCACACGCCCCTTCCGCCCCCCTTCACGATACATGATCTCGAAGCCCGTCGCGATCTTAACGCCGAGGTCGCGCCACCGCCGCTCGTCTGCTCCCTGCTCCTCGCGCACGTGCCATTCTGGCCCGAAAACTCGCGGCGGGTGGAACACTTGCCCCTGCAGCTGCGCGTAGGCCGCGCGTGTCATCAGTACGGACGAAAGGACAGCGGGAGCAGGTGGGAAATGCGTCATCCGCGAGGCCGCCTGTGGTCAGCGCTTTAAGATTGCCGGACATACCCTTAACTGTGCCGGATCCCGCACGTAGAAACCCTCCACGGCGCGCTGGATCAGCTCTGGGTTTGAGTGCAGCGCTCGAGCAACGGGAAGGGGGAGGTACGCTTTGGCGCGGTGCTGATGCGTCTTCAGTGCGTCGGGGTAGCTGGTATCAGCATGTTTCAGTCCGGCGCCTGTGGCGTCCTGGTCGAAGGCAGGATTCGCACCTCGGCTGTCCAGATGGCCACGCCAATCAACTCACCACGCTATCCTCTCCCACACCGCAGCCTCGACCTCTGGTGCGCGATACTTGCCCGACCGCACAGCCGCGACGGCGTCCGCCTCGCTCACCCACGCGCCCGCATCAACCGCGCGGCCGCTATCGTCATACTCGTCGTCCGCGATCTGCCGTGGTCGGGAGGAAGATGCGACATTAAGTGGCAGGAGGTGGAGGTGGCCGTCATGCAGCCATAACTGGGGTCAGCGGGCAAGTCGAGCGGCGTAGGCGCGACACTCACCCTGTTCTCGGCGTTCTCCGGCGTAACCCATGCAGGCAGCGCATGCGCGGCCTCGATGAGCAGGAACTCGCCGTCGCTATCGCGGATCGACGTGACGAGGTCAGGCCATTTCCGCGACACCTCGCGCAGGAGCCAGACGACGAGCCACTCGTCGTCGACCGCGTCGCCGACGCGCATGCGCCCCTCGAGCCGCGGGAGACCCTCGCGTGCGGCCGCTTTGAGCTCCCATGCGTCCTTGTTCCACAGCCACGGCGAGGGAAGAAGGTGCGACACGTGCGCCGAGATGAGCGTCGCGAGGGCCGCGAGATCAGCTGCGTCAGGTGCACCCGCCGGGTGCAGGATGTAGTGCAGCGTGTCCTCGCTTATGGAGGGGAGGGGAAAGGCGCGCGACGCCGAGGAGCCGTCCATTGTCGCGATGGCGGGCTCGATGTTGTTGATGCTCGTACAGGCAGTAGTGGCGAATGTTCGGTCATGAACCGCAGAGTTCGACGTCGGCGCGGAAGTAAATGGTGGAGGCCGGTGGAGGTCGGTGGAGGTCGGTGGAGGTGGAATGCTGGATCGGAGAAAGGCAAAAGTCGGGTGACTGACCTTTTTTTGTATTTTCTTTTCTTTTCCAGATCTGTGGATGCCACAAATCCCTCAACGAAGGGATCGACAGTCGTCGGATCGTCAACCAGCTGCAAGCTAGAACCCTTCGGTCTCCCTACTAGAACCCTCTCATCCTCATAACCCTGCACTCGCACTCCCCGCCTCGCCCTCGCCCTCGCCCTCGCCCCTCTCGGATGATCGGATAGTAAACATGCTGCATCATCCGGTTCTATTGCTTTGCTGCTACACCTAGACACAATCGCGGGTGACACGGGATCATAACAAGGCCCCAGCGGCCTGTCCTAAGAGGTCATAAATAATATGAGGGAGTGTGGATGCGTGAATGTCGGTCAATCAAACGCTGTATGCTAGTGGAAGTTGGAATGGGAAGGGGCAGGACGGAGTGAGGGGAGGGGAGCAAAGGGGGGAAGGGGGGAGACGTGGGCCCACGCACGCTAGTACCGGATGGTCTGCGGCTGCGGACGGCGATACGCCTGGATCTCGGGGCTAAATGTCGCAAACTGTGGCGTGTTGGGTGCGCTACGGTGCTGCGGCGCCGCCGCCACAGGGTAGTGCAAGTTGGCGTCCTTGAGCGATGGGCGGTTCTTAGCCGCCGCACGGGGCATGGAGGCGTGGAACGCAAACTTGCTGCCCGTCTCGGAGGGTGGCGACGCCTGCTGAGCCTCGTTCTCGAGAGCCTTCTGCAGGCGGTTGTACGCAGCGCGGAAGGTCGACTGAGCGCCCTTCTCGAGGGTGAGAACCGCCTTTGTGCTGAAGCCCGAGCCGCCGCTGGACCCGGGCGCGACGTAGACACGCTCAAACTCGATGCGGAAGCGCACACCCTTGATCGTGTCGCCGTTGATCGTCTTGACCTCGCCAACCTTGCAGCGCAGGCCACGCTGCTGGTATTGGGTCTCGATGACCTTGACTCCCTGAGCCTCTAGTGCGCGCTTGCAACGCTTCAGTCCCTCCTTAATGTCACGGCTGTTGACGAGGATCTCGCAGGACGCCGGCTTGAAGGAGAACAGGTTGTTGAACCACGACCGCTTGGCCATAGAGTCAGGAAGCGGCTGCGACGACAGAGCCTCGGTCGACATCTTTTTGCGCTTTTTGAGCATGCCGAAGCCATCCGCAGCACGATGCGTGCCGAAGCCACCTGAACGGGTCGAGCTGCCCCACGTGCTCTCCACTCCATCCTCGATTTCGTTGGGAAGCTCGACAAAGGCGTACGAGTCTTCGCGGCCAAGGGTCGACTTGACACGCAGCTCGCCGCCCTCGCGCTGGAGTACACTGTCGACCGCACGAGGAGGAACGTGGGTTGGGCGTGGCGGTGCTGGGCGGGATGCCTTCGGTGGGGGACGCGGAGCAGAGCGTTCGGCGCGCAGAGCGGACGCAGGAACGGCGGGCAGGGGAGGGTGTGCGTGCGAGTCAAATCCGTTCGTGTACACGGCAGGGGAGAGAAGCGCCGGCGACTCGGGTCTGCTTGAGATCGACCGGTTGCGGTAGCTTCCCGAGGCTTGGCTCCACCGACCAGACACCGGCGGTGGCCCACTGCGGGTGTGGTGGCTGCGCGGGGCGTGCATTGGTCCAACAGACGAGCGAACGCTTGGCACAGGCGAGGGGGCCGTGTAACGATGCACAGACGCAGAAGCCGAGTAGATGGACATGTTGTCCGCCGAAGTGTCATCGTCGTCGGCATCGGCGAACTGGTCCACGTCATCGGGTTGGGGAGAGGGGGGGAACTCGGCTCGGTGAGCGGGGAGCTGCATGGGGTTCTCGGGGACAGACGCCACAGGCGACTGCTGTGCCATGAAGGCAAGGGCTGCCTGGAACTCAGCACCCTGGAACTGGGCATGCTCCGAGTTGCTCGACGCGGTCGACTCGCGAATCCCCATCGAGTTGACGCGCTCCGTGAGATCGTTGAGGAATGACTGCAAGTTCTGGTCAAGGCCCTGTGGAGGAGACAGAGGGGGCAGAGGCATCTCGTGTGAAGATGGCGAGTGGTGAGCCGAGAGCACAGGCGACATGGCCACAACCGGTGACCGAACCTGATCAGATCGGGAGCGGGCATGGCCATACACATTGCTTTGGCTCTGCTCGACCGATCTGGAGCGCGCATGTCCGTATGCTCGCTCCGGCACGGGCTGCTGCGCGACTACCTCCTTGACAGGCGTCGCCTCGTGTAGGGTGATATGAGGGGCATGGGGGTTTAGAGGCGAGGTTGCACCACCACCACGAATAGCGCGGGGACCGGCGGGGTGGGCCGCCTGTGACCGAGGGTTGAGCTTCGACGGAGTGCGAGAAGCAGGCGAGTCGACGATCATGCCGTTAGCAGCCTTCTTGGGCGTGGGTGCGTTTGGCCGGGGAGGAGGCGTCGCGCGGTTCTGGACAGCCTCGTTGTCCGCCAAAGGCACTGGTTTGCGGCGCGTCGTGGGAGGCGACGGGGCTGCCACCCTGCGCTGCTTGGGTGGCGGAGCAGGGAGAGAGGGCGATGGGGTCGGCGCTGCCACCCTTCCATGAGGTCGTGGCGCTGCGATGCGATCTTCGTCGTCACTGTCCGCGTCCATGTTGTACTGCTCGAGGTGTCGACTACGGTACTGGACAAGGAGGTGGTAGACCGCCTTCTCCCATGTCTTCTCCTTGCTCAGCAGCGACTGGTAGATCTCCTCCTCGCTCATGGCATGCCACAACGTTTTGAGGTTGCACATGAGGTCCACGTCGACATCCTCGGCGCGAACAGGTCGGGCGAGAACGTCAAGGGATGGAGGAGCAGGCATCTTGCGTCCACCCATCAGCCGAGGACTCCGGGAGCAGAAGAATGGGTGGACCATGATCTCGGGCATGGTGATGCGAAGCTCCGGATCCTTCTCGAGCATACGAGCGAGGAGGTCGCGTGCCTGCAGGTCGATGTCGGTAGGCATGTCAAACTGACCCGTCTTGACCTTCTGCAGGAGAGTGCGGATATTGTCGTCGTCGAATGGTAGACGACCGGTCAAGAGGGCGAACAGAATGATACCGCACGACCAAATGTCGCTTGCCGTTCCATTGTACGACTTGCCCGCAACAATCTCGGGAGACGCGTAGTGTGGGCTACCACACGAAGTCTCGAGCAAGTTCTCATCCGCCTGCCACGCTGCCATGCCAAAGTCGGCAACCTTGATGTTCTTGTGCTGGTCGAGCAACAAGTTTTCAGGCTTGAGGTCACGATGGCAAATGTTGAAGCGATGGCAGTAGTCGACGGCATAGCAGATCTGCTGAAAGTAGTGCAGAGCCTCATGCTGTGGAAGACGGCCTTTGCGCACAAGGTAGTCAAAGAGCTCGCCACCGGGAACATACTCCATGACGAGATAACTGCGCGTCAGTCAGGGTGACACAAGCGGAGGATGGCCCCTTCTTTCTAGACCAGGGGCTACGACTCCCATATTGCCGCCAATTACGGCGTGTCAAACTCACAGGTCGTCGTTCGTTTCCCAAACATCGTAGAGTGACAAGACGTTGGGGTGGTCGATGAGCTTCATGATGACAATTTCGCGCTCAATACCGAGCAAGAGCTTCTCGGCTTTGGTACCTGCTTCACTCATGCTCAAGCGGGATGACATGATGAGACCCTTTGGAACGATCTTGACGGCGGCATATTGGTCGGTTGAGGCGTGCTTTGCAATCTTGACGCGGCCTGTGCAGTGTTAGTCGTGGGCGACTACCAAGAGACAGAGACGACCGTGGGGTTCCCTAACTCACCTGATGAGCCCTTGCCAATGGTCCGGCCTATCTTCCACTGCCCGATCATCTTTGCGTCTGCTTCGCGTGTGCCACTGTTCCCGGACATGGCTGAGAGACGTTTAGCCGCCGAGCTAGGGCCGGCACCTGCAGATGCACGACGTGACCCGGCAGGGCGATGTTGTACTGCGGTCGCCATTGTTGACGCGTGGTTGAGGGGTTGAGGGGGGGAAAGGGGAAGGCGGTGGAACACGCGCGTTCACCTGGGCTGGTGACTGCTGTGGACTCCAGCGTATGCAGTGAACAGTGCGCGCTGTGCTCAAAGTTATCGCGGTGACGAAGACAGGAGACCAAGTGTGTCGAGTGGAGTAAGGCTCTCGAGTTTGAGTAGGTAGTGTTAGGCAAGGCCGAGGAGAGACAAGAGATGTGGTGAGAGTGAAGGACGAAGGAGGAGGATCGAGTGTGTGTTTGGAGCAATATCGATTACTCCCGAGAGTGTGCGCGTCTGTGTTGTGTGCGATCAACAGGGCGCGTGTCGGGGTGGTGACAATTCCGGTGCGGGGGTGGGTGATGAGGTGAGCGTGAGCGTGACGGGGGTTGAAGAGGACAAGGTGAGGGACACAAGCGACGCGCGGTGGAAGATGGGATAGGTGTGTTGGGAGGCGAGTGCAGGTCGATGAATGGAATTAGAGAGTAGTAGAGCAATGACAAGAAGGGAGGAGGAGGAGGATGCGGGGTATGAGGGAGAGAGGAGAGAGAGGGGGAGGAGGGGGAGGGGGAGGATGGGGATGGATGGAAAGGATGAGAGAGAGAGGAGTCGAGATGCAGGAGGACAGGATCGAGTAAGGACTGTGGGTGCGAATGAGCCGCGGCGGGAGGGGAGGAGGAGAGGGGGTCCAGAGCGATGTAACTGCGGTGTATGGAATATACAACCGAGGCTCAAGCACAATCGTGGAGCGTGTAGGGAGGAGCGAAGGAGAGTAACAGGACAATACGAGAACAAGTTATGAGAGTACTGCAGTGATTGGGAGCAGCAGGAGACGACACGAGAGACGACGAGAGAGACGAGCTGCGTGGGGAGTGGTTGTCGAGCAAACGTCAGGCCGGCGTCAGGCGCTCTGCAGGGTGACCACGCCAGACAGGGATCCATCCTCCGCCCTCTCCATCAGCTGTCTCTTTCAGTCTTGCAGTTTATTCCTACTCTCCTCTGCTGCCTCTCTCGCCTCTGCTGCCTTTCGCTGCATCCGCGCGCGGGCGCGCTGCCCGGGTGGTGACACTTTATGCCGACATGCCCCCTGCTTAGCTGCCATGCTCGACCCTTGAGTAATGCGTAACTGTCCTCAATCCTCAGGGCGATAGGCACAGTCCGGACGCGACCGCTTTTCCTTTGCTACAAAGCAGGCGCGGTCACTCGCTCGTTTGGCCTCCCCCTCCCATGCCACCCGCCGCCAACGTCCATCCTCATTGGCCCGTGTCTCTCGTGATGTTTGGGAAAATCAGTCGCTGGGTTCATGCCAGGGAGAGACTCCCCCCTGAGATGTCAAGGATCGCGGCCACAGTGACGGCGGAATTGTCCCAACATCAACATTTCTGCGTCGCTTGAACCCTTTAATAGAATGCCCATTCGCCTCATCCAATGCGTTACTCTGAGGACTCGAGGTATTCATCACCACACTCTTATTGCAGTACAAAAGCCCGGAGACCAGAGTCTGGCTGGCGACAGACCAGAGGCCAGAGCCTAGCAGGCTGCAGGCTGCAGGCTGCAGGCTGCAGGGTGGGCGCTCGCCCTTGACTCTGCTGCCTCTCGGTTCCGTCGTTCCTCGGACCTCGGGCCTCCCCCCCCCCCCCCCCCCCCCTGCAGGAGAAGCAGTGGCCCTGATCAGAGAGCGAGCGCGTCCCCCCTCCCATGCCCCCTTTCTGGCGCGGGTACGCGCATGACTTTTTCCTGTGCTTTTTGTCTTTGGGCGGTTGCCATGCTCATATGCCCCGACCGACCCGCACCAGAAAAGCAACCGCGCCTGAAACGCAATCACCCTCACCCCACCTCCCATGCCTCCCATCTCCGGCGCAGCCGGCACACGATGCTGTCATCTCTCCCCAACTGATGCTGTAACACTCCCAGGCGCGTCCGCCTGCACGCACGCACGTACGCCTGTGCTGTATCCGACCTCCATCTGCGCATCACACGGACATGTGCATCTGCTGGGCCGCCTGTCCGATAGCTTTCATGGTAAGGGATACCTTGTCCCGAAATTCGGGCTGAAAAGTAATAAAAGATGTCTGTGTCAGCCGAGGACGAGGACAAGTTCAAGTTGGCTCCAGAATCCAAGGGTTCAGTGACGTGTGTGCGGTGAAGATCTCTTGAAAAGCTCTAGTGCCCACGACATGCAGGACAACAGTGGGCGGGGACCGAGCAGGGGAGCGAGGGGCGCGAGGGTTCAACGGCAAGGCGTTAGGCGTGGGTGTTGAAAAACACTCGCCGGCATGGCCGGCAACACGATGCGGTGTCAGCAGAAAAGGCAAGAAGATCACGCATGGCGCAGCACAGGGCCCGCTTGGCCAACGCAATAATGTCATCAGTGGCGCTCAATCATGGCTACTGTTCCCGTCGCCGGCGGAGGTGTCCGCACTCTTTTGCAGCATGCACGCTCTGCACCATCCCTCTCATGCTCCAACTTTAGCTCGGCTCTAAACACAAACAAGGTCGCCAGGTACCCATATTCCAAAGTCAATTGACCACGACGCGTCGTGCAAGGCACCAACTAACTCTATGACATGTTTGCCGTTTGTCGATCTCGTCTTGTTTGGCCTGCACTGGGCACGAGGCGTTGGCTCGTCCTGACCCAGCTGCCAGCTGTTGGACCACGCCGCATCCCATGAACCATAAGACGCAGAAGCGCAAACTGCAGAGCGCCACGCCCGTGCGCGCCACAAGGCATTCAAATTCGCCGCATGCCGAGGCGACAGCTTCCGAGAGGCCAGCATGGGAACATGGGAGCATAGGAGCAGGTTTCATAGCCAGCTCTGGCCTCTGGGACCCAAACATGGAAAGCAGTGCCTGCACATGACCCGTCACACCTGTCACGCTCCGTCCGACCCGTACTGGTGACGCCGACGAGATGCTTGAACCAGAGTTACACCTTGCGCAACCTGTGGAGCCGTGTACGGAATGGATAACGATGCCGACAGCAATATGGCCTTCTGGACCTTCTCGACTCTCCTCTGAACACGGTGCACGCACTGCGTCTTCCATTCTCTTCTAGGTTTGCCAGTGCACGAGCACAGCGAGACGCGTCGGCTCGAAGAGGCAGGTCCGCGCTCGCGTCCCCGAGTGCGGCAGGGCCCAGCCCGGAATTCTGGGCGAGGGAGCTCGGTATGCCTCCGCGGCCCAAGATGATCAGAGTTCTACAATTCCCATCGCGAACCCTCAGTATGAATTGGTGGCGCCGACAACACAACGACAATTCCGCGCTCAACGCTTTTCTGGGTTCGGAGACTAGACTGCGCCTCCAATTCTAGCCCAGGGTCTGCGGGACGGTATGGCGGCGGCGCTCGTCGAAGACCCGAGCTGATCGGTCAATGCGACCCTCGGCGAGCTCGATCGCGTGCGAAGGAGGCGGGGATGGAGGTGAGGGTGGCGGAGGCGGAGATGGAGGAGAGAGGGGCAGTACATGGAGAGTCGTCGCTGTCGGTGGACGCCAGGTGTCAACTCCTTGCGCGCTGTTCTCGACTCCCCCATGTTGGGTGCAGCGGAAGGAATGGAACGGTTGGTGAGCCTTACTAACCCGGCTCTGACAGTTGCGACTCCCACATAACTTACCATCACCACATGAACGGAGATGACAATAGTAGTAGCTAAGTGACGAGGGGGCCGAAGATGACGGAGGTGACGACGTCTCGCTACATGTTCCTCAAGCTGTGTCTGTGCCTCACCACCTGACGATCTGACGGGCGAGTGGCCTACAGTACGAGGCATGCTCAAGCGAGCGCCAACATGCTGTACGGCGGCATGCGGCTGATTGTCGTCGATGAGAGCATTGTCCTCACCAGCACACAGCGCCCTATCCTCATGCCCCTCGTGCTCGGTGTGCCCATTCTGCCCCTCTGGACTAGATCGTGCAACATGTCTTGCTCTCATCACCTAGCATTTGACTTTCTCCACATCACTGACCTGCGTCTTCCATATGCGAGGCCACTCATCATCCCCCGAGCCGCACGAGGTGCGCCCAAGCAAGCGGGGTTGCCATGAGAGCACCGATACCGAAGCGACGCCTGACGCCAAGCCCACCCTCAAGCGTGGCAAACCCAAGGCCGAGACGGGCACGCCCACGCCAGCCGTGCGCGGCGCCTGGACTTCAGCAGAGTACATCACACTGTTCAAGCACGTAGTGCAGTACGGCCCGAGTCACGCGTCGCTCGCTCACGCCGTTCCCGGCCGCTCGGCCAGCCAGAGCTACTGGACGTGGCGGTGGGCATCGACGTGTAACTGGTGGCGCTGACGCAAGTCAGGTCGTTGAGCCGACGTGCAGGGCCGCGCTCGAGGTCAAGGCCGGCCAGCGCCGCCGCTGATAGCTTCTGAAGTGTGCATACCGTATGCTATGCGCCCCGTCCTCGCTCCGAGGCTCGTGACTTTCTCGCCCGAGCGCCTTCGTCGGCACACTTGCTCAGTGTCCTCATTCTCCTTTCTGAACACCTGACCTCTGCCCGATACCCTCTCAGCGTTACTCTTCCCGAACACCACATTACCATGCCCCGCACTCATGCCATTTCCCCTTCGACGCCGGCCACCACGGACGAAGACACCAAGCCCGACGTCAGGCGCAACACCAACGACGCCGCGCCTGAGGCAGACGTCAACACAGGGAAACGCCGCCGTCTCGAGACCAATCCCACCACCACCTCTGGCCCCCGCAACCGCGCGTGGACGGCAGACGAGTATCTCGCCCTCTTCGAGAGCGTGAGCAAGAGCGGCGCGGGCGCAAAAGCGTTCTCCGAGGTGCCGGGTCGCACACCGAGGCAGGCCGCGGGTGCGTGGCGGTGAGTCCTGCTCGGGGCGGGCTGATGCGAGCGACGTGGTGGGCCCGACGTGCCGCGAAGCGCTTGTTGCAAAGGCTGCGAAACGCCGTAGTTGATAAAGGCAGATCTATGGATGTGTGATTCTCGCCCCGGGGCGCTGGTGCGCGTGTCTGCTGCTTCCCACGTCGAGTTCGCTTGCTCACCTCACTTATGCTCCGCACTCCTTCTCGCTCTCCTCCTCGTCCTCGCTCTCCTCGCTCTTCTAGCTCCGGTCTCCTCTTCTCGGTATTTCTCCACTCCTTCTAACCCTTTTTAAAGTCTACTTCTCTACATCGGCAGTCCAACATCCGTGATGCCCTCCTCCCCCTCCCGCACTCCCGCCCCCCGCGCTAGCGGTATTAAGGCGACAGTCGGCAAGCGCGGGGCTCGACCCTCTTCTTCCTCGTCAGCCGACACCAAGCCTTCTCTCCCGCACCAGAGCACCAACTCCGAAGCGAGCAACTACACGCCGTCATCTGACGACGAGAAGCCGCAGGTGAAGGGGAAGCGCAAGCGCGCGTCCGGACCTAGCGCCAAAGCCACTGCACGTGCATGGACGGGCGAGGAGTACGCGCAGCTGTTCGAGCACGTCGTGGCCCACGGGGCCAACAGCAAGAGCTTTGCGGAAGCCGTGCCCGGCCGCACCAAGCAGCAGTCGTCGATGGCGTGGCGGTGAGTTTGGAACGAGCTTGCTGATGGCAGCCAGGTCGTGCGTCCTCGGTGCCACGAAATGCTGCTCGCAAAGGGCAAGCGGTCTTAGCTGTCAGTGAGACCCTCCAGTCTCTGAGGATTCGTAGCTGTTGCACAGGATTCTGTAGGTTTTGGTCTGACGAAGCGAGAGTACGTGTGACGTGTGAGATGTGGGAAGGGACAGGTGGGGCCATCGTCTGGTCGCTCCTCGCTCTTCGATCGTGAATAATCCAAGCTGTCTCATGCCTGACAACATAGCACCTTCCGTGATCCTGCGAAGCCTCAAAGGCGAGCGTCCCTGTCCTGTCTGTCATTATCTCATTCCTGTGCGAGCCTAAAAGCTGCCAGTCATTGCTCGTCCGTCTTGGGGTGTAAATTGAGATTTCACAAAGATCTGCTCCTGCAGGTCGCACGTAAGCTTCGTCGTGAGTCAGCGGCGGATGCATGCTGTGCACACCCAGCTACCGGGTGCCGGCAGATACAGTCGTCCAAAAGCGCTCTTGTTAAATTTGATGGATGTGGCTGCTCGAGCTGTGGAGCCACGCTGGCAGTCTTGTACGCCATTGAGGTCCATGTAGCACTGTGCAGGCTCTTGAGAGACAATCAATCCCCGGTGCTGGTCACATCGTCTACAGCTGCGTCACACATGGTGCTCGCGCTAGCTGTTCCCTTTCATCCCGTGATTCTATCGATCAGTGAGAGACAAGTCTTTTCGCCCTCACTCCCTGATGCTGATTCATGCGGAGGTGAACAATTGTGCAGCATCCAGCAACTGACCCAGCGCATGCAACTCCTGGCGCGGGGGTGGCCCAAATCAGCCTCGGCGGCGACGACCGCGCATGTCATGCTGCGGTGTCGACCGCAGTAGCGGAGGTACGAGCGGAGCTGATCGCCGCTAGTTCCATTCAGTTGTCCTCAAGTGCCACGTTCAGAATTGGAATGTTGTCCAACAGCTCCCCATTGTTTGAGATGCGGTACAATGGCTCGTTTGCTCATTGACTCACTAGATCCGTAGCCTTGTCCCTTTTCTCGAGGCGGTGAGGCCGGACGAACCATCAATTCGACTTCGAGCAAGGGGTCACGTGTTGATATTTGATCACACAACATGAAGAGGCGGGTCACACGTAAGTCAATTCATACAGTCCAGTCAGCCGCCAAGCACCAGAAGCCAACAGCTTCTCTCGCCTCGACCAGCTCTTCAGTGCATTATAAATACCAGTCATCCCACCCAATTCCCATCTCTTCTTCGTCACTCATCTCGCATCCCATCTTCATCCTTCGTCCATCATACTCCCTCCCCTTCCCCCCTTCGACAACCTCCTCGCCCCTCTCTTCGTACACCGACCTTCGACTACCTAGGGCATGTGCTGACACCGACGCCCATGCTCTAAGATCTACGCCCCTTCCTCCTCGCCTCCCGCTATCCTCCTTCGCCATCCCCATGCACAGCAATCCTTGGAAACGCTAACGAGTGAGTTAACAACTCACTCAGCAAGGCTCTCGGCACCGACCTGCATCCTCAGGTTCGCGCACCCAATGTCAGATATTGAGATACCAGGGTGTGGGTCTCGTTTTAACAGAGGCCAATGTGCAACCACCAGTCCGCGTCCGTGCGTCGTGGCCGCTTGCGTGTTGTGGCCCCACGCTTTGTGGGTCATGCACATTGTGGATGACAGACCGCTGCGACCTGACACCAGGCCGCAGTTGACTGTGAACAGTTGTGTCTGTCATCCACCACTTGTCTTCCGGCCCCGCATTCCGTTAGAGCCACCACCAATGCCCACAGTCCGAGCGACTGACCAAAGCTCTCTCTCCCAATCGAATGGGAGGGACGCGTGAGCCCTGCTGACACCAGCGCACACGGAACCGCACCATCCGCGGTGGAGCGATTCGCTCGGCCCCGTGAGTCCATTCAGCAGAGTTCACTGCACCGCATGTCCGCGCGCCCAGAGGCGTGATCTGGGCGTGAGCCTCGTTTTGAGCAGACTCTGCTGTACTGTTTCAGCCATAGTAACAAAAGACTTGGGCCCAATGCGTTTCTCTGACTGCTTTCTGTTGGTTGGGCCACACAGAGCCGGATGAGGACAGTGCATTGCTGCGTCCTTGTCCGCGACTGGTGGCCGTCATGGGCAAGCGGTCGCGCGCGGCCTTCGCCCGTGATAATAACCAGGAAGTTTCTTCACAGGGGACACCGAAGCCTTACAACAAGAGTCTTACATACTTTGAGAATGTGATGAAGCTGTGCAGCATACTCAGTGGACCGAGGGGATGGTAGTGTATCATGTAAGTCAGGCCGTCATCCAGGCAGGCAGGCAGTCAACCAGTCAGCCATTGAGCGCAGTAAGCCAGTCAACGCCGGTCAGCCCGTCAGCCATGCAGCCCAGCAGCGCTACTCTCCTGGTTATTTTGAGCCCCGCGCGGCCACGTCTACTCGATACAATTTCATGTTGCTTCCGTAGCGGCGGGCCTAAGCATGGGACGCCTCGAGCTGCTTCCCGTTGATCTTGGGCAGCGGCGCAGTCAGGATAATGGCGTAGAACTGGCATGGCTTGTCTGAACGATTGTGCCATGCGTGGTTGCTAACGTCAGCTCACGTCGTCCCTTCCCTCTCTCTCTCTCGCGCTCGTCTCTCTCCTCTGTCCCTGCCTCTTCTCATCATCCCTGCACTCAACTACTCACGTTCCGCGCTGCACAACGAGGTCGCCTTCACGGCACACGCGCTCGCTCCCATCGTCGAGCTCGAGCACGATCTCGCCCTTCTGGATGATGATATAGTCGAGCGTTGCCGTGCGGTGCATAACCGCCGTGTTGCCGGGCGGCACGACGAGGAAGCGCGCAGTGCTGCCGGCGCCCGTGTGGATCTGCGTCGTCGTGGTCAACTGCGTGTCCGTGTTGTCGGCGAGGTCGGGCGGGTCGGCCGCAGACCACGGCAGCCCATGCTGCGTGACGGCGTCCAGGCCGGCCGTGAAGGTCGGGATGGCGCCTTCGTACAGAAACACCGACTTGCCAGACGCGTCGTGTCCGGTGATGTAGCGCGCGGCGGAGGGGGTGACGGCCATGGTGGAGGTGGGTGTGAGAGAGGTCGGTGGTGAGCTGGGACACCGAGTACAACCGCGCTCTTATACGCTCGCTGCATCGCTGGATCCCGGGCTTCGGCTTTGAATTGTCGTCATGTGGTCGTGAGGTAGATAGATGGAAGGCAGCGGGACTGCGGCTGCGGCCTGCGGATGATTAGTCACAGTCAGATGATCGTCAGCAATTGTTATATCACCGTGCGTCGCGGTTTGGCAGGTACCGCGCAGATTTAGGTTACCGAGCCGCTACTCCTTCGGCGACAACGCCGCGACGCTCGGTGATGACTGAGCTGCTCCGCCGATGATGCAGCCTTCAGATAGTCGACGGCCGCGTCACTAAATGCCCTGCCGCGTCGACAGCAAGGAGACTGACGACAGTCGCTCATCAATGTGTAGCTAGGTGTAGCCAATGGCAAGTCATCACGAGCTTATCCCGCCGCGGGCCATGAGTCCACACTCGTTCATCTAGTCGTTCTTCACACGGCTTTTCAGCATGAGGCGCCAGCGCCGTACGCCTCCAACGCCATTGCGAAGCAACTACTGTCACAATCTATGCATACAAAGTGTAAAACGGTACAGTGAGGGGAATGGTGATTGTCCCTCTGGTCGAGCCGGCGCACTGCTCAACGACGCTTGGCGGGCTTCGACGGCTTCTTCGCCTTCGGGTTACGCTTTCGCCGCTCGAGGCATTGCGGGCAGATCCAGTTGCCCTCCGGCGCCTTGTCGAGGTTGAGACACGCGACGTGATACTGGCCGTCAGTAAGGGCAAACGGAGGATAGTTCGCCGACGCGAGCTCAACTCACCCATTCAATCTCGCAGTCGTCGTCATCACACCCAATCATCTCGCCGAAGGACACCTGGCGACATGTGCAGTAGACCTTGGAGTCGAGATTGTCGTCGACTGCGCCGTCGTCACCAAGATCGGCGCTGTCGTAACCCGCACCCGCCGCCGTTGTCACTGCAACCTTCTTCGCGGTGGTGCGCTTTGTGGGAGGCGCGTCTCCGTCCTCCTCATCCTCCTCCTCGTCATCTTCGCCGTGCCCACGCTTCTGTCCGCGTTTGGCGCTCTTCGTCCCGCTCCCACTGGGCGTTACGCCGCCGCTCTTGCCCGCGGAGCCCTCGCGACTCTTGCCGATGTCGATGCCGAGGGCCCCGGTCGGGGCAAGGCTGTCGTTGGAGGCGCTAACGACCATCGCCGTGCTCTTCCGCCCGCCGCGCGGCTCCTCGTCGCCCGTATCGTCGTCCGAGTCATCGGCCTGACGCTGCTGCTTAGCTGCTGCGCTCGCCTTGGCTGCTGCGGCAGCGATCTGACGGGCAGTCTTGGGTCCGGTATCCTTGCCGTACGCTGCAGTTGAAGCAATGGACTCAGATGGCGACACCCCACGCGGCTGCCTGATTGTCAGCGGGTCTTAAGGCGGGTGCTGCCGAAACGACTCACTTCTTCCTCTTCACTGGAGCCTTCTTCTTGTCGCCGTTAACGGATGAGGCATCGTCGTCGTCCTTGCCCAGCTGGTCTTTGCGACTGCGCTTCTTCTTGGTCGGCGTGCCACGGTCATTGAATGGCGAGCCTGTGGTTCGCGCTCCGCGACGGGTGGCGGCGGGGGCCGGAATAGGGACCAATGTCATGGCCGCGGTGTACGGGGACGGCGGGTCCTTGATTAAGAGCGTGGACGCGTTGAGTAGCTCAGAGATATGCCGCTGGTGGCCCATAATCTGCGCGTCAGGCAACTTCTCGACTTTGTTCGCGACACTCACTCCATCACACGCGCCGCCCGCGACGCGAATCTTGTCATCGCCGCCCAGCTTGTATCTAGCGGCCTCCTCAGCGATCTCCTGCAAGAGCTGGAAGCGGCGCTCGGGCTGGATGGTAGGGTCCTGAATCCAGTTGATGAGCTGATGCAACTTGGTCTCGAGGTTACACAGCGTGGCTGGAATCAGCTACAGCTCGGCTGTGTCATACGGGCTCGGAAAACAAAGCAACGATGCCCCTCATGGCGTGCCAATGTGGAGGCCGCCAATTCACTGATCGCCGGCTCTCGTGCGCCCCATTTGCACTCACCGTACAATACAGCGCCGAGCTCGTTGAGGTCAGAGTGCACCCGAGTGAGCTCGATAGGAATCTGGTCGATCGTGTCCATCAGGTCCTGGATGACAAGGATGTCGTTGGCATCATTGGCTTTGGGCTCCGGTGGAGGTGGAGAACCCGCGGCGAGGGCGGCAGGAGCTGCTGCCGCAGCGGCGGCTTTCGGAGGCATTGGGATAAAGCGAGCTTGAGGCTAGAACTTGTCAGATGTCTGAGAGTCTGGAGGAGAAACGACGTTGATGTGGATGTCGAGGAGGAGATGAGGGAAGGGGATGAACGAAGCGCCGGAGGATGGGTGGAGAACGAGTCGAGGTGAACAGGCAACTCGACGGAACGCCTTGGGCAACGCCACGTCATTATGAGTTATCGACACGTGCTTTGCCACTCGTATCAACTTGCCGTTGTGGGAGAGGTCGGCCGTTCGAATCTTAGAGACATTCGAACCTCCGATTCAACAAGTATCTATTGCAGCATGACCACTAACATGAATCTGACAAGCCCGGCGAGTGCTCCAGTGACGCCGAGTATGATCGGAGCCTCTCAAAAGCTTGGTCTCGATCACCACGCCGCCACCAGCGTCGACAGAGGAGGAGTCGCAACGCAAGTGCGTTAAGAACGTAGCTCATCAGTTACAGTACCGAATCGCAGCTTAGAAACGGGAGTCGTGCCCGTTTCAGACTCTATTCATCTTGGGGCCTCTGGTCTCACGTGCGGGTATGTTTGCGCTCAAGCTCTGACTCTGACGGTAAGTTTGGGCGTGACCGTCCACTGCCGCCGCAGCTCATCTACGTCCTCGAAACGGGTGGCTGTACGACGCTCCGCCGTTCTCACCATTCCAGAACGACTAGGTTGCATGTCCCTCGATAGACTCTAGGTCCCGAACCGTCCCCTCGGGTGCCGGGCCTGAGCTTAGTTTGACGGCGCCTCCCACCGACGAGACGGAGTACGAATTCGGTGTTGCGCAATGTTGCGCCGGGCCCGCTTGTTCCCGCTGGAACTGCGTTGCTGGGCATCCCGGGACCGAGGTGGAGCCAGTAAAACGAGACGGCACCGATTAAGCTAGAGGCACTGGTCTAAGTCCTGCCTGCGCCCAGTCACCGCTATCACTCCGCTCTCCGACCTCCGTCCCTCCCCCACCCCTCGTCCGCCTCACCGACGCAAATCACGAACCCTCCCGCCTCCTGGGTCTGGATGTCGCAACATAGGTCGCGCATCCCAGGCGCATGGCACATCCGACAACGGAGCCGAGGTCCCAATGTCCAAGTCGGGCGGCCCTCGCCGAAAAAGGCACTTCAAGGTGCCTTGGACACGCAATATTGGATTGGAGTCTCCTCGCGATCCGCCCGCACCATCACGGGATGCCAGTGGCAGGAGCGGCGGTGTGGCGAACGGATATGCTAGCGTCGACGAGGTGGCTCTATCGCGGCCCGCGCGGCATTGGCACAATGTGCCTCGGTGGCTTGAGCGGGGGCGAGCGGAAAACAGTGGCCCTGCTCGTCGTCGTCATCAGCGCCATCCCCCCCGCTGCAAGCGAGCTCGACCGAGGCCACCTATCGTCACGCCTAGAACGAACGTCAAGTCAAACTCTGCAGAGGTCACGCTTAGGCAGACGAGGGCTCACGAGCAAGCCCGAGGGTGGCAACGTAGGGAGTGGCGCCACGGATCCGTGATGCCTCCCCTTGCAATGGATGAGCAAGAGGCAGCTGCCTCTGACCCCTCCTCTGTGATAAGCGGGGCGTGTGAGCCCTGCGGCCGGCGCGCTGGGTCACCGTTCCCCCTCGCCGATGAATTTCGCGTCAGCACGCCGGTAAGGCAGAGCCTGCCAGTGACTGTGGTGCAGTTGTAGCGAAGCCGCATGTGTTAGACGCTTCGGCGACGCAGTTTAGCTGCCAACGGGGAAGGGAGCCTGGGACAGCTTGTGCAGTTGGCGGCACACTCTTTTGAGTGTGCATCAAGCTGCCTCTGTACATGGAAGAAAAACCTAGAGAGGAGGATTGCCTCCCCAGTTGTGCTCGAAAAGTGCCCACCTCCTCGCCTGACAGAAGGTGGGGGTGTCGCCGGCAAGTGTGGGAAAAATGGTGTTAGTGGAAACACGTTGCCTCGATGTTCTCAGAGAGGTCACTTGACGCAGCATGTTTGAGAGTCTAGCTGGCCACAGTGGCTTCCATGAGCACTGCAAGTGCCACATTTGGGTCATTGTCAGCACAACCAACGTCAGCACATGATTTCTCACCTCTCTCGATCGCACATGCTGATGCGAACGACGTGGATGCAACACATCAATTCATCGTGTGTATGTCTCATTCAGCAGAGAGTTGGCGCTGCGCCGAGATTGTTTTCATCGCCATTTCGACTATTCACTCCCCGCGTACTGCGATGTCTCACAAGTGGCGCCTTGTCTCAGTTTGTCTCGTATCGGCTGTACATGCCGTGCATGATGGCGGACAAGGTGCGGCGCAAACCTTTCTCAGTAATCTCAATTCAGTAAGCGCCATTCCAAGCTTGCGCAGCCAATATCATCGTCACTCCGCCCGAGACTCCGCTCCGCACTGAGACACTCAGGATGTACGACGCTGGATAGGATCTGGATGATCAAATTCACTCATAATTCGGTGATTATCCGCTCAAGCTTAGTTCGTAGTCGGACATGGAATGGGTGGTGAATTGGACATTATCTCAGGTGTCAGTGTTCCGCCGGCGCCGGATGCCGCCTGCTAGCCTGATCTTGAATGCGACAGGGATCAGTGGGCAGGACCTCGATCGGAGTCTCCTGCGGCACCTCCAAAATGGGAGGTTGAGGCCTTGTTGCACCCACGCGGATCAGAAGGGACTGCACGATCAAGTTTTGAATGTGCTGCTCGAACAGAACCCGCGCAGTCAGTACACGCTGAGGGCGCAGCACGTTAGTTGAAGGCGAGAGGGGTTCGCAACGAGCACACAAAGTGGCGGGAAAGTCGGGGAGGTGTCTTGAAACGACAACTGCGGATACCGCATACGGCACGCAGTCCCGCGGCCTCATGATGTTGTCAGATGTCGAGAGGAGGTGGTGGTGCCGATGCGGACAGCAGTGTGCATGCCACAAGTGGTGGTGATGATTTTGCGAAACAAGGCGCCAGGCACCATCCTGTTACACCTATCGCGGAATGTCGCCTGGGAGGGCGCTGAGGCTGGCACACCCCTTACGCTCCATCGTGAGTGGAAGTGCCGTTCGTGCCGCTCCCGTTCAAGTGAGGCGTTCAGCACGCAGGAGACGCCGTTTCGACGGTGGCCGGCCTGTTTGAATGGGTTTACGGAGGCTGCGCGGTCGCCGAAAGTGTATACCCCTTGCGGTGCAGAGCGGGTGCGGACCAGGGTGGCAAGTGATGAGGACGACATGTGGCGCCCATCGGCCGTAGAGACTGAACGAGGGCCGCAGTAAGCGACGCCGCAGGCCTGCAGGGCGCCGGGCGCAGAGAGTAAAACAGAAAAAATTGTCAGCCCGACGTAACGAGGTGCGGCGCGGTCCCCTGCAGTTGATACTCCACACAGCTATTGCCTGAATGTGGTCATGTCTGAGCGCCAGGAATATGTGTGCGGAATTTAGAGGCGCGCGGCATGTGGACAGGGGTCGCCCGTGCTCATAGGCGCAGGGCAATGTTCAGCAATGGACGTCAATGCCGAGGGCCGTTTCGTGAAGCCTGACTCCAATTGTCCACCCGCCGCGGGCCACGGGGAAGTCCGAGAGGCGCAAAGTGGGGTGCGGGGGCGGCGGTGTCTGCACGAGTGAGGGGTGTATTCTGATGGAGGGCACGAGGGACGAAGTTCAGCCGTTGTGGATGTGGCGGTGGCGGAGGCGCTGCTGCTAAATCTTGAGAGGGCAGGCTCGGAGACAGAGGCCAAGCGGAGTGGCGCATGCCACAGTCCAATCATTCCGCACACACATGACGCGTCGTGGGCGCCACCTCGCACCCACATCGGTTGCAAGCGCAGCCGACTTGTGACCGTGGTGCGTTTGTCACCACACCCTGCACAAGCAAAACTATCGTTGGCGTCCTTGCATTTCTTGCGTCGTCGCATCCTTGCAACGATTGCAACCTTGCTTCGCTTGGCGCCGCAACATGCCCGCCCTCTTCGCCTCTTTCTGCATCGTGCTCCAAGCTTGAGATCAAGCACAGTCCGGCACAAGAATCGAGGGTATCCAAGATCCCAAGGTCACGCGGCGCATGGAACGATGTGCATGGCTGAGGAGGTTGAGTCAAAGCAGACACCGACCTGCATTCGACGTCAACAGGAGGCGCTTGCAGGGGAAGCACCGTTGCACCAAACCATGTTGCAGTGAACTCCGCCACGGGCTGCCACTTGACGCGTCCCGGCGCTTCCCGCGCGACGGTCAGACGAGCTTGTGAGGTGCCGCACCCGTCGCGTTAGCGGCAACGGGAGACAATGTCGAAACACGGCACATTAGGGGGCTGCATTGGTCGCCCGCCGTTCTCGGCGTGGCTGGCAACGGCATATCGTTCGATGTGCCACTGTCTGGGCCTGTGACTAGAGCCAGAACGGAAAGCAGGCTGCTGCTCTGACCAGCGGTGGCCCCAGGTCGCCCGACGGCGCAGCGGTACCCGCCGGCTGAAACGGTCGCTCGCGACTGACCCCCCTGGCGGGAATACAGCGCCGACTGAGGCGTGCCGGATGCTTTACTCAACACCTCGCCCAGTGTGGAGCTGTGGCCTGGTCGTGTCGGACAAGGGAGCGACATTACGGCACGCGTTTCGCCGTGCAGAAGCATGAAAGTCCTCAATGTACGGCATGCTCTGAAACCAACGGAGAAGGTGATGAACTGGGCCACTTCATTAGCATCCAACATCTCGGCATGAGGCACGCCTGTCTGGCCATTACTGGCCACGGGCCACAAGACCAGGACGCGTCCAAGTGATCGCCGTCGACCAGCCTTCCAGTATATGCTCGGCAACATGATGAACGGCAGCGGGACGGGATGGGTCCTGGCTTTGCCAGACTCTCCTCACCGAAAGCAGAGGATGCCAAGTGTGGCGATGTCTTAGAGATTACGAAGCGGGAGAGAGCTGGGAGAAAGAAGAGATTGTGACAAGAACGGTGGCGGCGTGGTTAAGCTCAGGGTCGCCACCGCCGAGTCCAGACACGCCGATCTTGCTTCTCATCCCGCAATGTAGAGTTAGAGGCGCTGTTCATTATTCATGATGCATGAGATCAGAGAGCCACTCAACCCGCTGCGCCTTGTACAGCTGTACAGCTGACGACTCGCCAAGAGCGATCACGTCCGTCACGACTTGAGGCACCATGCCTCGCTCACAGCAGTGCCACGTCATGACGCACCCTCCTACGCGTGCAACCTGTGGGATTGTGGTGGATGGTCACGTCGGGTCGCATGACCGAGGCTTCCGCTCCGCACTCCAAGCAGGCGCAGCCGATGGAACTGCATTATCGCAGCAAGGGAATCAGCGACTGCGAGTTCTCTCCGGCTCCGCACTGCGCCCACTGCCGACGGAGCGGGATGCAGATCGGTAGCCGGGTGTTGCTGAGATTGATATCCACGTTGCGAACTTGGTGGCTAAAATCGGAATGAGCGAGTATATTCAGCATGGTCCACAAATTTTCTGAACTTTTCAGCAGTTCTGACACTTGTCGCATGGTCCCTATGGATCGTGCGCGTGCGCGATCGTGCTGTGCAGGGAAGCGCGGGCGGAACTGTTGATTCAGAACAGAAGGATGGAACGCGCGTTCCCGCGCCATACGCAATGCCATTGGGGTACGCATTCACGCACATGGATGGTCTCCTTCCAACGGCAGCGGCATTCCTGGAACGACCGCTCCTCGCTTAGTAGCTCTTCGTCTCATGAATACCGTTGCGCAGGGTGCCTCGTACACTCCGAAAGAAGCGTCGAGGCCGACGCATCCGGAAGCAGGGGTCAGGAGACGATAGGTGTTGTCGTGATGCGTTGGAGAGAGAATGAAGGGGAAGCGCGCGGGTGCCTTGTAGATCTGCGGCCAGCGGTGAGTGGCACAATGCATTGGGGATGTGGATGCGGAGTGCTTGGCACATTGTGTTCCCCTCGACCTCGCCCCCTCGACGAACGTTGCGTCGTTGCGTCGCCCACGCCCCCCGCCCGGCGCCGACGGCGGATGCGTTTCTACGCCAACGGACGGGCCGAGTAACTCCCAGGCTTTGAGCTGTGACCTGGAGGGTGGCACAGACCGATCTGTTGCCACCGACATGACACGCGCCACCCTGTGCATGCATAAGGTACGCCGAGCCGCCCTCCGACGCACCTCACATCTCCCACTCGGCACTCCCATGCTCCCCGAGATCCCAGGCCCGCGCGGGTGTTCCATGGCGCACCGAGTCTTTCAGTCCCCGATCCCCGAGTCCCCAGACGCCCTCATTTCTGCTGACTTTACGATGCCGGTTTGGGCAATCAAGTTCGAATCGTTAAACCAGGGTAGATTGTTGGGGCTACTCGTCTCCAACAAACCGGACGCCCCCTCCCTGTTCCTTGTGACAACGCCAAAAACAATAGCTAACGCGGGGGAACTGGAAAGCTCGGGATCAGTCAAGGGCAGGTGCGCAGATGTATTGGTGTGGCCACCGGCGACGCCGCCGCCGCGACGCCCGATGTCAAAGCCAAAGCCAACGTCATGCTCCCTCAGGCACGATCCTCTAGAGTGACATCCGCACAGAAGTCGTACTTCCGCGCCCGACAATTCTACGAAGCCGCAAGGCCAGACGTGGTCATTAAAACTTGCCCGTCCCCGTGGCTAGCCGAGCCGTGCTCCAGCGCTCCGCTCCAGCGCGCCAGGACCACTCCTAAACAAGATTGCTCTAATGCCGTCCGCCCCCGCCCTGTCCCACAGGCCCACCGCCATGTCTGCCCTGGCCGAAAAGCATGCTGACGTGCGTGCCGTACATGATACCCGTGGTTTGCGGGTGCGGTGCGGTGCAGGGGGGAGGGATGGGGCCAAGAAAAGGTTACTTACCCCACATAACAACGCACGCCACGCCACTGGCCCTTACGTTTCCCGACGACCTCGGTTTCTAAATCGCCTGAGCGAACTGTGGAGTGAGAGCGACGTGCAACGGCGGTGCGGAGGCGCAGCAAGGGCGATGGCGGACCGCTGCGCAGCGGGGTATGGGCACCGGCGTCCGAGATACACTGCTAACGTATTCTGCCGTGCACGCTTGTGGCTCGCGCTTCGTCAGATTGATTTTGGGGAGCGCCACGACGCAAGAGTCCTGCGATCCTGCGAAGAGTGGGGAGTGGGCCCGAGAACCACGACGCAACATGCACTCTGCATTGAATTGCGAGCGATCCTAACTTCTGCGCCACAGGAACTGACATGCCTCTGGCTTGATCTGTTCCGCTCGCCGGCGCCGCCTCGCCTCGGCCACAGGGCTCGGCAAGTCCTTGATCTCAGTTGATGGATTGGTGGCACATGCCCGTGACATCCACCTCGGACCAACAAACAGGTGCGGAGCGACGCCCCCTGAGCTTAACAGGTTCTGACGCAAGTGTGTTGCCGCATTGATGCATTTCTGTGCGTTGCAGAATTGCAGGGTATCGCAGCCCGCGCCGGCATGGGGCTTCGAATGACTGTGGGAGGGTGTGGCTGAATTCACCAACAACAAGCCACAGACTCCAATTTGGGTATCGTCCTGCAGCAGCAGCAAGCTCAGCACCAGACAGCAGACAGATGTGCAGCGCACTAGCACTGCGATTATGTGGCATGCCGATAGGACCCTGGACCACGTTAAAATTGGGAGCCGGCGAACGGCGCTCTTGAGTCGACTGAATGCCATAATCTCCGTGCCGAGCAGGACCTGGCAGGTGAAAGATGCATGGTGAAAAGGTGACACAAGAGCGGGCGGGGGATGATGGAGGTTTAAGGGTATGCCCAACTAGGCCGGAGACGAGAGGCGTGAGCTAGTGGTCTGTGACCGTCAAACTAAAGATGGAAATTGTTGTTTGCTGACGCACACACAGACGGTGGCGAACTACAGCCATGGCCATGCTGGCAACAACCGTCCAAAACACCAGTCTTCAGGCTTAGCTGCGGCACGACACGATACATAGCTACTCGGCAGGCTTGCGTGGAGGCTCCAAGGCGAAGGTTCGGTAGCCTAGCGGCGCGGTAAGGGAGACGAAGACGTGAGGGCAACGGCGGCGGCACATGAACGGCTAGTTGCAGGGTAACAGGAACTGAGGATGACAGCAGTCTATTGATCCGAACTTGTGGGATCTCATCGCCAGCTGACGGCAGACGATGTGGTGCGGTAACGGCACACGGCACATCGTTGCCCTGTCGCCCAAACCGCCTAGTCACCGAAGCTACCCAGGTCGCGCGCCACTGGGCCAAGCTCGCGACACGAAGCAAAAGCTTGATCAGGCGTCACCTTGGAGTCGTGAACTGTGAGCATGGGGCGTGAGCATGAGTCGTGAGTCGTGAGCCATTGCGATCAGGGACCGATGGGTGGATGCGTAAGTGTCATTCTGCTGAATACGCTTCTTCCCAACTCCATAGGATGTAACCGTACCCGCGCTACATGCCCGAGCCTGCCGAGCTCGAGACCGCCATTCAGCCCTTTAGCCCTTGAGCGCTGTCCTTGTCTCCCTCCTCGATCCTTGATCCATGATGCGTACCGCAGTGCTGACGAAGTGGGGGCATGTGATGGCACCAGATGCGTCGTCGTCGCACTTCTGATGAATTGGGCGAGACAATTCCAAGGCTCCTGAGGATCCCAAGGAACTTGGCGCCCCTTGTCCCGCGTTAACCCTGTTGCGCAATGCACTGATGATCTGCTCGCGCCCTCGTCGTTCGTCGGTGTCGTGCGCCACAATCTTGGGATCGCGGTATCTGGTCAGATAGTTTTTGGGCGGGCGGTCAATGACGGAGCCACGACGCCAAGGCGGGCTGGGCGAGCGCGCAACATGAAGAGGGAAATAAGAAGAGGGAACATGACAGGCGAAGGCAGAGGCAGAGGCAGAGGCAGAGGCAAGGTTAGGACCGGGAGGAGCGGCATCAAGCGGGGGACTGGGGGGGGACGGGGGACGGGGGACGGCACAAAGAGAGCAGGGTGCGTGATTGACGGGACGTATCATGGCAAAGTCTAAGGACGAAGAGGTACGGAGCAGAGTAGGAGTAAGAGGAAATCTGGGCAATACCCAGGGCGGAAAAGAGTACGAGACATGTTGTTACCAACCCAAGCCTTGTAGGCCATCATGACATGACATGACCGTCGTGTCTGTTGTGCCGTCGTGAACCGCAGGCGCGGCCCCTGATGGCGGGGAGCGGGCACATGCGCACCATCTCGTCGTCAATGGACCTCGACCTGGCCGACAAGGCCGACCTGGCCACACCCGACACGCTTAGTGTCCTGCAATCCTGTTCCTTGCAGGATCATGCATTCAAGACAGGACCCACCACGTCGCATCAGGCAATCAATGCGGAAAAGGCAAATGCAAGTCAAACGGTAAAATGTCCATGGCGTTTTTCGGAGCTGGGAATGCTCAAAGCACACGCAGTTGGGGGACGTAGCACGACCGGGGCATGGGGAATCTGGGGGAATCTGTAGGAAATTGAGCGCTAGACATGGACCGTGTGGTGGACAATTGAGCAGCAGAGCATGAGGCCGGCTAGGAGAAACAAAGACAATCTGGAGCAATGTTGAATTCGAGGTGGCGAGTCAAGAAAGCAATTCCCGGGTGGTGTCGCATCGCATGAACGAACAGGATCGTCAGGATGCATGAGGTGCCAGACGTGCAGGAGACGCAGGAGATGATGCAGGAGACGCAGGAGATGCAGGAGATGCAGGATTGCAGGAGATGCGGAGCGGGCAGAAGATGGAGAGATCAAGTCCCAGGTACGCAGTGTTACGTTGACCTGCTGGAGAGTGAATCACAAATCAAGTCTGAACCCGCAACTCGCGACCCGCAACCCGCACCACGCACCGCGCGCCACTTGCACTTGCCGCCTTTGGGACACGAGAGTGGAAGGTAACTCGGCTCGTCCTCCGCGCCTCGGCGCCTCCGCCCGCCCCGCACCGCAGTCATTGGTCACCGGTCACTAGTTCGAGGTCTCCAGTTAGCTCAGTTCACCGCTTCGCAGCTCGCAGCAGCATTCAATCTCTTGTGTATCACGCCACACCGCCACACACACACTCTGCACATCATACACAGACTCTCTCCATTATTCTCTTTTCTCATCATCATCATCCTCTACTCGTCAGATCGTCAGTCTCCGTTATCGCTCCACTTCCGTCACGAACACGATATTGGACATTGTTCGCTCGACGCTCCTCCTCCATCTATCCCCTAGATTTACGACCCAACCTTCGTCCCCTCCCTCACCCTCCCCCTCCTCCCCCCCTTGACGCACGCCTCGACGACAACATAACTCGGTCCCCCACGCCCTCGCCTTTGCCCTCGACTCGCCCTCACCCTCGCCCGCGCCGAATACCAACATCGGCGCTCACACGCACTACCACTCCAACGCTCACGCCTCTCTGCGCGCGCGACGTTGACGGCCGCACACCCCGCGAACCATCACCACTTATACACGCGGCCACCAGCCCCCCCTCACATACCCTCCCACAGACCTACAGGCCCAGAGCTTGACACCTCCACCCCGATCCGATCACTGGTGGCGGCTCGGCACTGTCTTAGCACGCACGAACGAACGCACGAGCCTTGCTTCGTCCGAGCACACCGCTCTCTTGACCCAGCCCCCTCCTCCCTCCCCCCCCTGCGCAATACCACGCCACCGTCGCGCGGAACACGCACAGGCCCCCTTCAGACGCCGGGAACCCCAGTTTTACACGCGCGCGTTACACTCGGGGCGCCTTGCCGTTGCGCCAGCCGCCAGACCGTCAGCCGATCAGCCGCACGCTCGAGCTCCGGCGCTCCAGTGATCCAGAGTAGCTCCAGCGGACAACGGCACGCAGGAAGCAACTAGCCAGGTCAGCCAGATCAGCACATTTGTGTGCACCTGCGCGCGCGTGTCGCCCATCCGCCCATCTGGAATCACTCGCACTCCCATCCCTAGCCCCACCCCGCCCCTCCGCCGCCGGACGCCCTCTCTAGCCCCCCCCCACTCCGGCGTCAAGCCTTCGAGTGGCGAGATCAGCAAGATCTACAATCTTCGCATCGTCGGCGTCGTTTCATTGCGCCCGTCAAAGTTCCTGTGCCGTGCTGCAAGAAGCGCTACTCGCAGTGCTCTGGGCTCCAACACGTTTGTTAACGGAAGCTCGGCCCGGTTACTGCGGAGACGTGGTATCTTGCACAGCACAGTGTGCGTGGGGACGTGAGCGCGCCTTGTCGACCTCTGTGTGCGCCTCATTCCAACGTATAACCTCCCCTTGCGAGCTTGCGAAGGACGGACCGACGAACCGCCCGACATACCTCGCTCGCCTTCGCCTTGGACGTCTGTGGCATCTGACACCTGGCATCTGGCATCTGGCGTCTGACATCTGGCATCTCTGGATAGCTGTGTGTCACAATCCGATTCCTTGTCTCCCCATCCCACGTCAACAAGACGCTCTGCCGCTCCATCCAATTACTCTCAATTGCTGCACAAATTTCTCGACAAGTGACCCTCATTGCCACTTGAGCCGCTCACGTCGTTGCCGCCCCACGAACAGACATCGTCGCCAGTGTCGCTCCGGTATACCGTACGGGTACGGTACGCACGAGCCTGTTGCCCTCATTTCGGGCATTGACGCCACGACGCCACAAGAGTTCTACAACTCGACGTCTCATATCCCCCTCATCGGCTTCTATTCAGTTCCCTTTGCGAGGTCGCTCGCTGTCAAGCTGACAGGTGTCACCCGCGCGCCCCTCTCGACTCTCAAACCTCTCCCTTGAGGCGCACGCCGCAAAGGAATCGTCTCGTCTGTGGAACATCAAAGGCTGCAATTTCATCAGGCGCTCGGACGGCCATTCGTGTGAGTGATTGAGTGCCGTGAGTCGAGTGAACGAGGCGTGTGTGCACGAGGTCGCGCAAGGAGCGAGGAGCAAAGGGGGAAAAGGGATGAGTGGAGCGAGAAAAGACAAGGAGGGGTCTAGGCGCCGACAATCTCGCGAGAATGTGAGAGAGAGTGTGAGAGTGGCGGAACGAGTGTTCAGAGTCGAGTGTGTGCGCAGTGGCTGGTGGTCGGTGGCCGGTGGAGGGGTTCCAAGGAAGGGCGTTGTTGCCGCGTCCTCGTCTGATCCCCGGCGCGCAACAACATCTCTGTCATCCTCGTCATCATCATCAACATGTCTCTCTCCACTCTCCTCTTTCTCATCCCCATCATTATCTGAAACCCGACAGTCCACTGACTCGCAACAGAGCGCACATTGTCACCAGCGTCACCATCACCTACATCGTCGTCTCCTCTTACCCCAAGTCCCGTCGTCGTCGACTAGATCCAAGACGTCTCCCTCGCACTCGCCTGCCTGCGTCCTACTCAACCAGGACACTCATCTAGCTGTCTAGCTGGCTTCCTCGCACTGGTCGCCACCGGTCAGCACGCCCTCAACCCTCCCAGTTTCCTCCTCTACGCCCCTCCGCTTCTCCACCGACAAAGACATCCTTGCGCCGCACTGTTGCTCACCACGCACGCCACAGTTCGCGAGCTACCACTCTTCCCGCCTCTCTTTGGTCTGTGGCGATTCGTCACAGGCCACCCCTTCCCGTCACGATCCTGCAGCAGTACGTCCCGCCCCACTGGGGCAACGGTGCGGCCCCGGTGGTTTACCAGGCCAGTGGCCTCATACCACCACCACCACAAAAACCTCCAAGTCATCTGCAGCAGCTGCAACCACAACAACAGCAGCAGCAAGCACAACAACAGCAGCCCCTACAGCAAACGGCGTCGTACAACTTGTATCGCTCGTCATTATCCCTCTCCCCGCCCTCGTCATCGCCTTCCTCCACTCACCGAACCTCGCCCCTCAACTGGCAGCATTCCCAAGCTCCGATAGTGGCAACGGCCTCATACGAGCCTCAGACGCCACCAATGTCTGCTGCGCCGGCACCCTCCGCCATCATGGAACCCTCCTACTTCCAAACCTCTTGGGGAGCCCCTGCACCAGAGCACGACCAACTTGGCTACAGCGGGCCGGAGATGCCGATGGAGGACGCCCTCATCAAGGCAGAACTGAACCAGTCGCGACCTGTTCACTCGGCCTTCCAAGCACTGTCGATAAACTCTGCCGTGCCGGCACCAACGGTCATGTCGCGACCACTTTCCCCGCCTCCCTCCTCTACAAAAATCGACATGCGACTGGCCGAGCCAGGAAGTGACGAGTCCAAGCCCGGGTACATGACGCCTTTGGCGAATTACACAGGTGCGTAACTACCCGCGTTTCTTGACATCTTTATCCCAGTCGTCACCGCCACAGCAGCTGACTTTTGCAGCCACAACATTCTGGTACTTCTGGCACGCCGACATGTTCTCCGCAACGCTGGCTCAAAGCCCCAACTGGATGGCGCGGCGCCAGAGCAAGGATATTCGCAAGTCCAACTCGCGTCCATTTGACAACGAGGGCCGAGCGATCCATCCCATTCCGATCAATCCCAATCTCGCTTTCTGCCAGTTTGTGTTCTCAGTCCTTCACAGCACCCAAGTGTCGTTCTCGGTCACCATCCTCGCCCTTATCTACACCTACAAGTACAAGAAGTGCGTCGCACTCGGCCGGCGGCCTCCATTCCCTCGCGAGGTGTCGGAGGCTCAGGGTTTTGTGACTGGCCTCATGCTCGCCAACAAGTATTTGGACGACAACACATACACCAACACCACATGGGCTCAGTTCCTCGGCATTCCCGTCAAGGATGTCAACGATTACGAACTCGAGTGGCTGGACGCCCTTCACTTCAGCCTGCGTGTAGAAACCCGCGAGTTTGATGGGTGGAGATCGATGCTCGACACGCACATCCGCTCTCAGCATGGTGACGCATTGTCCGGTTACGTCTTCCCCGCGACGAACGGCCGCGCCCGATCGGCCTCCCCTCCGATGGGTCTGCAGAATGGCGCTGTCGCCAACCAGCAGGCACTCAAGCGGACGGCCAAGGACGCCTTCTCGGCAGACGTGCTCCACAACGCCGCAATGTACGAGGCCGCGCGTCTTGGGACACGGAAGGCGTCGCTGTCTGCGCCGCAGTTCCCCTTCACTGCCTTACCAACGCCTGCGCCTTCCATCCCTTCAGTGTCGCCCACTGGCCCAACGTACCCAACGCTGGCACGCTCATCGTCGCTCAGTCGTCAGATCGCGCCACTACCGGCCAACGGTTCGCAGCGCAGCTCGGCAGGCCAGGAGCAAATGGCGCCAGAGGTCGCCGACCTGCGCCAGGCAGCGCTCGCCAACAACCACTGGGGTACACAGCAGCATGTCACCGAGCCCATCGACTTTGCACAGGAAGAGCGGTGGCGGATGGCGCCTACTCAGCAGCGCCTGTACTTCTTGCAGGCGGCAGCCACCCCGCAGTTCGGTCCAGACCCGCGTTACCACAAGGCTATCCCACATTACCTCGATGCCGGCCACGAATCTGGGTTCGGGTACAACCCGTACGCCATGCCCACCGTGGCTGCACCCATGGCAGCGGAGGCTATGGACGTCGACCAGAGACAGGTAAACCTCGCCTCCCCGGTGGACCCTCTGTACCCAGCGCAGTCACAACAGCCGCAGCAACACCAAGGAGCAATGCAGATTGCTCAGCAGCAAGCTTACCGCGGCATGAGCTTGCCTGTCGCCCCTGTTCCAACGCACTTTGTGAACCCTCAGCCTGCTCCCTTCGCCAACGCTGGCCCTCCCGGTTACGCATACGGGTCGTATGGCTGGCCCGCTCCCGGCACTTGGCGGCAACAGCACTGGCGGCCAGGCCACGCCCAGCGGTGGTCCTCGGGGTCGGACGACGCATACCTGGCAATGCAGCCACCTTCACTGTGTCACCCAGCGGCATTGTCACAGTGGTCCACGCCTGCAGTTCACCCCGCCTATCGGCCCCAGTTCTGATACTCGCGCCGGCCGCGTCCCCGCTTCTCCCTATCAAGTCGTATCATGGCAACCATCCCAAGTAGTTTTCACCTTCCAAGCCAACAAACGTTCGCGCACATCACATCTGGCTCTTGGCTCGTTGCGCTGGCGCTTCGAGCTGGGCCTACCTCATCGTCAACGTCGCCACCATTACCGCTGTCCGCATTCGCCTCCTTTTCTCCACAGCAATAATTTCACGTCGCCTCACGAGACAACACTCTGCATAACTTTCATCCCGCCTCAGGCGCCGACCGCGGAGGATCCAGCCGCTCCTGTACATGTAGCTATAGAAAGGTAGACCAAATGCTGTACACACAAGTGTGACCATGCAGTTATGCCATATCGGCCTTAAGTTTTATGAAGGCCAGCGACGCGCAGCGTTCTTCCATCCACCATCCAGGAGAATCGGCTGCTGGCGACAGGGGTTGTATTAAGCGTCGTGCTGCAGAGCTTTTCGCCCCTCCCTGTCACTTGGATCTGCAGCAGTCCATCCACGCCTCTTGATCTCGTCTGATTTTCTGAGCATCCAATGTCAACGTCAGAGTCAACGTTCCAAACCAGTTCCGAGTCCTTCACCCTCGCCCTAGTATCGACCTGATCGCCCTATCCATGGCACCCGCAATCCCACCATTAGTTGCGATTTTTTCCGCACACCCAAACCATGTCTGCCCACTAGCCCCGATCAGCCCTCGGGATGTTCGGTCTCGGCCACATGTGTGTCCCTGTCGGGAGCACGTACGCCATGGAGGACGGAGTGCGAACGCAGCCTCGTTCCACCGCCTCTGCTTCCCCTTGCCATATTGTCATCCTCATCCTCATTCTCATTCCCATTCCCAGACATTCCCATTCCCAGATGCGAGATGCTTATCGCGCCGATCAACGGGACAACTCGTCCTGACCTAACTGATCTAGTCGATCTACAGTAGTTTGAGAGGCACCGCTACACTGAGCTCCACAGATCTTGGGAACATCAGCCTCGGCAGATGCAGCTCCTCATTCCCTTATGCCCCAGTCTTCAGACCCCCAAACTTTGGGTCTCAGCGTCTCGTACAGACCAGACACTCTCCCGGGATCCATAGGCACAGAGCCAAGACACGCCCGAGTGGCCAGGCGCACGGGCCCACCGCGCCCGGCACACACGATGTTCTCGGCATCGCCGTCGCCGAGGTCCCGTGGACAGCCCGGCGCCCGGCGCCCAGCGCCCAGCGCCCCGCCGCGCCACCTCGGTTCCGCATGGATCTGCGGGTCTGGGTCTGCGGAGAGATTCTCAACGGGAGGCCTAGTGCATCTCTCCGAGTCACCCGCTCGCCGTCCTCCGCATCCTGCATGCCTGTTCTTGGAATGGGGCGCCGCGGCAGGACGGGGAGCGAATCGGAATCGAAACGGTGACACGCCAGGAGCGAGGCTGGTGGCAGGTGGCAGGTGGCAGGTGGTAGGTGGCAGGAAGGAGGCGGCGTGCTTCCGATTGATGATCGAGCGCGAGATCTCGAGGCGCCGCGCCGCTCGACGCCGACGGAGAGAGCGAGAGAGCGAGCGCGAGGATGGCACAGTTCACAGAAGGGTGCCTCTCCCGTCGAGGGTGACTGTGTGACATCACGCCGCTATATCCGCCCCGCACGCGTGACTCGTCCCTGGATTCCTACTGAATGACGCGCGGAGGTATGGTATCTCCGCACATGCGTCCAACGCCCTCCATCCACGCCACCGCCATCATGCATGCGTGTGCTCGAGTCTGAGTCTTCTAAGCGGGCCAAAGCGTGCATGGACAACGGATGGTATGGCTGCTATGGACAGAAACACGCCCCCGCCGCTCACTTCTCCTTTCCCTTCTCCTGCAGCTCCTTGATGATGTACGGCTCGATCGTCTTCCTGTACTCAGCACGAGCCACGCGTTCACTCACGTCCAGTTGTCGTGCAGCTGCTTCCCCGTGCGGCCGGGGATGAGGTCGTCGAAGACGGCGCGCTTCGGCCCGTCGCCCAGCGCCGCCTTGAAGAGCGTGACGAGCTCGTCGCCGGTCAGGCGGCCCTTGCCACCCGGTTTGATGGCTTGGGGCTGCCCCTTCTTGCCCCCCGAACTCGTGGGGCTCGGGGACGGACTCACGCTCGCCTGCTTTGCTGCGCTGCGCGTGCACCGCCTCTTCTCGTGCACATCGGGCTTGCTGTCCTCTGACGAAGCGATCTCGCGCGCCCGCTTCTTGACGACGGGAGACGCGGCACGCGTCCGGCGTGCCGCCTTGGGTTTGGCTTCGGGCTCGGGACTCTCTATGACATCGTCGTGTGTGCCGGCCTCGCTTTTGTTTTCCTCGCCCTCGGTCTTGGCTCCATTCTCCACATCCCCCTTGACTATCGCCATGGCCATGACGCTCCGACTCTTGACTTCATTGTAGATCTTGAATACGTCCCAGCTCTCGTGGCTCGCCTCAGACGCCGTGTCCTCGTGGTCAGACAGTGCTGAGTTGGTCCCACCGGCCCCCCCAGGCTCGGGTGGCGTGGGCGTCATGGGCGACGTCGACGACGTGTGCTGGGCATCGACGGGCTCGGGCGAGGGGGGATGGGCGTCGGCAGGCGCAGGCGAGAGGGGCTGGGCGTCGGCTGGCTCGATCACCGTCGGCACAGCATCAACAGGCTCGGTCGAAATGGGCACGGCGTCGGCCAACTCGATCGACGTGGGCTGGTCCGCCGTAGGAGTAGCGCCGATGGGATCAGGAGAACCGGCTTTCTCGCCATCGAGCATGCCGGCGTCCTCGTTGTCGGCCGTGGTTGCCTCATCATCGACTTTGCTCGCCTCGTCATCGGCTTTGACGTCGTCATCCTCCATCTTGTCCTCATCCTCCACCCTCTTCTTCTCGAGCGCCTCCATCTTATCGGTGGCGTCGTTAGGTTCGAGCGGGGTAACCGAGTGGCGATCAGCTTCGGGCTCAGGCTGAGGCGATGGCGAAGGCGAGTGGCGGCGCGTGCGGCGGCGAGCTTGGGCGGCTTTCTTGGACCTCGCCTTGGGCATGGCTGCTAGTCCGGCTGTGATATAGTGTGAGGTGGCGAGTGGGCGGAGGGTACTCGAAAGAGAGTTGAAAGGGGCTGAGCGAGCTCGTGTCGACCTCTGATGCGTGAGAAAGGCGTCTGCGCCCTCGACTCACGTTTGCAACTCTGGGCCTCGCACCGTCCGTCGACAACGCCCACACGACAGTCGAAAGCTGTGTGGGGCGTATTGTCCTGTGTCACACTCATGAAATCTGGACAGCTGACCGTTTGCGAGGCTGGACATATGAGTATACACCGACTGTGACGTGGCGTTTGCGAGGGCGCAACGATCGAAGTATCAGAGGCGATGTTGTGAGTTGATGCGAGCAGTCAGACGCACAACGTCGGACACTATACCCACTCACGCACTCACACAGATACCAGGGGTCAGACAGAACCGCGACAACAACTTGCAACCAGGAGACAGCCCAAGCACCGCCCAGTACAGGTACAAACCGCTTCATCTCTACTTGGTGTACACTCTAACTCTACTTGCCGATCGCAGCCTTGCCGGTGAGGTAGGCGCCGACGATTTCGGCAAAGTTCTGCTCGTCAGCGCATGGACTTGTCTCTGTGCCACAAAACACTGACCTTGCCCTGGCTCTCAGCGACGGCAATCTCCTCCTCGTTCGGCTTGAAGCTGCCGTCCGCCCCTGCGATGGTGGACGCGCCGTACGGCGATGCGCCGTGCACGCTCGCGGTGTCGCCGGCGTACTTGAACTGGTATCCGTTGGGGACGAAGATGATGCCCTGGTGCGCAAAGTACGGGAAGATGTTGAGGTGGGTGGTCTCCTGCCCGCCGTGCTGCGAGTTGGAGGACGTGAACGTGCCGGCGAACTTGCCGACGAGCGAGCCTTGCGCGTACTGCGCGCCCGTCGAGTCGAGGAAGGCGGACACCTGCGCCGGCATGCGGCCGAAACGCGTGGGCGCGCCGATGAGGAAGCCGTCGAGCTCGACGAGTGCCTCGGGCGTGATGACGGGGTGCTTGGGCTCGAGGGACGCGCCGCCGCCAATCTTCTTCACCAGGTCGGCGGGGAGTGTCTCCTGGAAGTTGTAGGGGCGGACCTCGGCGCCCGCGGCCTCGGCGCCGCGGATCGCCGCCTCCGCGAGGTGCGAGACGTGTCCGTACATGCTGTACCAGATGATACCGATCTTGGGCTTGACAACGTTGGTCGACCTGCGTGTTAGATGGAATGTGGTGGAGGTGGAGGCGGGGGATCGGCGGTGGAGGCGGGGTGATGGGCGCCGGTCCACACGCACAACTCACATGATGGCGGTGGTGTTGGGAAGAGGTGAAGAGATGGAGAAAGAGTAGGAGAGAGCGTCTGTTGCTGCGTAAGAAGTGGGGCTACTGCTCATCGCGCAATGCGGGACGCTTAAGTACGGCTTTCGGTCGCAGTCACCGGCGCATGGGCCGCCTCGATTGGTTGGTGGGCATGGCCGGTCTTGACGTCAGCAAACGTTATCCTCCTAATGCTGATTCCTTCGAGCCGCAGCGCAATAATGCATAATTAAGGAGGCGGGTAATCGTGCGATAATGGTGGGGCTGGTGCGAACCGACGTGCGGCTGTTGCCGACTGCGCTGGCAATGCTCGCTCAGCACGGCTTGGCAGGGCCGTCCGACGCGTCGCGGGATGCGATGGCGTCCGCGCGCTCAGTGTCGGTTTCGACGGCGATTGTCCCTCGCTCCCGTGCTATGATCCGAGTCCGAGTCCGAAAATTACTCAGCTTTCTCGAGCACCGAGCGGAATGGCCCGGGTCGTCCTTTATGGTCCGCACTGTCCAGCGCTTTGCGCTAGCGAGACCAACGTCATCCATGCAAAGTACCCTCGCTTACATACAACTGTGTTCCGCTCATCCGGGCTATTCGGCACAGCCGGCCGTCTCACCCCATGAAACTACGTACGCGCAGCGCTGCTGCGTGGCGGCTTCTCGGCGCCCCGTCCGCCGGTCGCAAGAATACGCCTACACAACATACTGGAAGTATATGTTCTCAAAGTCTGTGAGATCCTCGAAAGCGTGCTCGTTGACGTGCTCGGGACTGAACCCCGCGGCACGGAGCTTGGTGTCGAGCTCGAGCTTGTACGCTGCCGCCTCTTCATGTGTCATAATCGACGTGTCCTTCAGCCCCGCGGGAAGGCCCATGGCGACGCGGCGCGCCTCCTGCTTGCGGTTGAGGTGGCGGAGGTAGAAGCCCATCGTGACAACGAGGATGAGGAGGATGCACCAGCACGCAATGTCGACGTACAGCCCCGTGCGGTAGTACGGGGCCTCGCGCGTCAAGTAGACCTGGGGCCCGACGATGTTGCCGATGGTCAGGGCGCCGAACATGGTCGCTGTCGTCACGACGCGCTTGGTCGTGCCGGACGCATTGAGGTTGCACCACGACACGAGAAGGGGCTGGATGACGGAGAAGACGTAGGCGACATAGTAGGCGGCCATGAGGCCGCCGGGCTTGGAGCGCTCGACTTGGGTGAGCGCGATGGCGCCGGCGATTGGGAAGAGCGTGACGACCGCGAGGACGGGCCAGCGCATTTTGATGCGGTTCGTGATGTAGATGGACGTCAGGAGGCCCGCGATGCCGATGCACCCCGTCGGGATCTGCATGAGGATGGTCTTGAGCGTGCTGAACCCGAAGCCCTTGGTGATGAGGGGACCAAAGGCATTGATGCCGCCCGATGGACAGGCGGCACAAAACCACATGCCCGCCCACATGTACGTCTTGGGGTCGCGGTACGTCTCCCACACCTGCGCCCACTTGAACTTGGAGGTCTTGGTGCCCGTGTTGTTCTCTTTGAGGCGGTGGACGGCGATGAGGCGGTCGCGCCCGCCGTTGCGGCGCAGGAAGCGCGCCGTCGTCGGCGAGTTCGGCAGCAGCCACCAGACGACGGGGACGAAGGCGAGCGACACGGCGCCGATGAACAGAAAGATGCCTTGGTACTCCAGGATCACGCCCGAGCCCTCCGTCGCGCGCCCGATGCCGTAGCTCATCAGCGGGCCGAAGATGGCCGCGCAGCTGTTGGCAACCTGATACGCGACGGTGCGGTACGACTGCTCGCGCCGCAGCCACCACATCTGCGTGATGAGGATGAAGGACGGCATGATGGTCGCTTCGAATGCGCCGAGGAGCATACGGCAGATCAGGAGTGACACAAAGTTTCTGCATGCCGCCGTGCATATGGTGCAAATTGACCATGCGGCCATCTGGCATGAGCCGTGGCGGACAGGTAGCTCACGTTGAACAGCACCCACGTCTTGACGGGCAGGGCGACGAGGGCATACGCCGAGATGGGCTGGCACACGAGCTGCGCGCAATACACGACGGACGTGAGCCACGAGTACTGTGTGCCGACGAGCCCGGCGTGTTTCTGTAGGTCGAAGACGGCGGCGTATGACACGGACGACTTGTCCATCTGCGGTCAGTGGACTCGCGCTCGGCTCAACGACTTCACTTCCACACACCTGCTGGCTGTGCGTCAGCGCGCCCACCAACCAGCTCACATCCAGTAGGTGATGCACATGGGAAGGCAGACGTAAAAGTCGATGCGGCGGAGCACCTGCTTCATCTCGTCCAGCGTGTACTCGACGTGTCCGCCCGCCTCCTCGAGGAGGCGGGCAGCGTCGTCCAGCTGCGTGTTGGCCTTGTACTTTGGCTTGTGGGAGGCATGCTCGGCGTCGCGCTCGAGCGCCTGGACGTGTTCGACTTCCCTCTTCTCGTCCATCGAGTGTGACATGTTGAGATGCACAACAGTGGCCTAGCGGTGGTGCACTAGCGTGATATCTCGGCGATGTGCTGAGGCCGAGAATAATCTTTAAGCGGACTCCCGGACCGGCCCCGGCCCCGGCTCGCCGGATCGAGTGTTGTACTTGCCGAAAAGCTGCCACGGAGCACGCTACGCTCATCAAGCGGCACGAGCTGGCGAGGTCGCACCAGCATGCCGAACACTGGTGCAGAGGGAGGAGACGGAGTTGGTCGTCGAGGGCTGCGCCGTCGCCGCAGCTCGGATCGCCACTGCAGACACGTGACCGGCGCCGACGGTCCGGATTCCGGTCCGGGGTTCCGCACACCTTGAAATGTATGAGTAGCAGATACGACCACGGGCGGGACGCAAGCTTTGGCGACCCACCAAGCGAAGAGGAGCGTCGGCGGGGAGACAGTGGGCAAGCCTCGCGACGTACATACTCTGACAGTGGTCGCCGGGTGCTCTTTCACTGCGACTCGGGCTGCGCCCCCTTGGCTCAGATCTTGCTCTCCCCGAGCGCTCCTGACGAGTGCAGCGGGCTATACTGACTGGAAAGCGACGCACAGATGTAGCAAGGATTGGGCGACGAGACAATCGCCGTCGAGCGACTCTCGCGTGCCCGTGGCACTGCCACTCCTCACCATCGACTGCACGACGCGTGAGTAAGCCTCAGCCACGAGCCGCGGCGGCCGGCGGCCCCCGCGGCGTGATTATGGCTCGACCGAGGAGCCCGAAGCGTATTGGCGGCGAGTGATTTGAATCGAGATAGACGCACGGACCCGGCGATCGGGGGTGTCGTAGATGTTGACACCCGCTCGTCAGTGCCAGCGCGATTTTGGTGGATCGCAGAGTTACAGCGCTGGGTTGGTCGGAAGTTGAGGCACAGCCCGACACGTTTCGACGCATGCTGAAGGGCTGACTACCGTCGTGATAGGCTTGACGCGCATAACTCAAGTGGGCAGCGTCCGGTGCATTGGCCACTGACGTGCACGATGAACATGGTGGGGATGGGGTGAAGCCAAGAAGACCGTTGCGAGGCGACTGCCAAGCTTGGCACCACCACGAGCCAAGCGCCAAGACCCAAGCCGAGGCGTTCTCGGGTGCGATTAGAACACGTTCTGCCAAGAGGCCCAACGGCCAACGGCCACGGCTCTCACGGGAACAGTGTCTCTGACAATGCTATTCGCGACCGCATCCCGCATGGTTGCGCACGGGTGGGTCATGCGCCGGCTGCCGTGTCCTGCGGTGCAAAGTGCCGCCAAGCCGGCGCCCTCACGTGGTGCCGGCTTGGAGGCGGCTGAGATTGGGCCGCTGACGATATGTCTCACAAATGGCCCGAGGGGCGACGGGCGAGCGGCCTGGCCCAACAGCCTACTGTTGTCTGAATACAAGGTCTGGTGACGCGGCGCAGACTCGAGGCGCGCTTATGCGCTGTGCTCCAGCAGGCCAGGCCAAGACTTGGCGTGGCGATGGTGGGCCCGTCCCAAGCCACAGAAGGGGCGGCGCCGGGATCCTCGGTCTGCCATGTCGCCGTGTCGCCACGTCAGAGGGCGGGTGCAAGACGTGCTGGGCGTCGGGCGGGATTGGACGGCGACGGCGGCGGCGGCGGCCAGAAGAGCGCTGCGGCGCTAACTCGCTGGCAGGGGTGGGAGAGCCAAGAATATTCTGCCCTGACAGCCTCGGCGAGAGATAGCACCGGCGGAAACGTGTTTGTTTGGGCGATGGGGGCGATGGAATTCGATCATTTGCCCGTGTCGTGCGGCTTGGAAATGTCAACCTCACACAGTGCCAAGCAAGGCCTCGGCAGCTCCACTTGACTTGAGCCTGTGGAAAGTGGAGATCGTCGGGCGTGTGTACGTGGACAACCATTCCGCCATGCAAGCGAGAGTTGGCGCCGAATGTGACGCCGAGCCAAGCTCTATACAGTAGTTGGCTCTGGATCTCTAGAAGATGGGAGGGAGTGAGGACGAAAGTCATAAAATCGGAGAGGATGACGGCAGAGCCAAGACGCCCAAGAGGCGTGTGCGGTGGAGGAACGCCCTGCCTAAAAATACCAAGGCGCGAGACGAGAGGAAGAGGACAAGGGGCAGGGTAATCTCATGTCGAGCAGGGTCTGGGAGGGTTAAAAGGGGCCTCTGAGCGAGGCCCAAGGCGCAAGAGCAGAGGAAGACATTCATCGCCGTGGCTCTGCTGCCCTGAATTCCTTCTTCTCGTTTGGCTCTTGTGTCGCGCCCCTGAACTCCACACAGCCAAGAACCATTCTTGGAACAAGGGCTCCTTACTCGCTCCCCCCCTTTTACTGCGCCTACAGCGTCAAGTTCCAAATTTGGCCATGGCCCCGGGTAAATAGTAAGTAAATAATGCAGACTTCAGACTTGCATGCGAGGTGATGCTCAGTGGACAGCGTATCATGCATAGGCAGCTGCAGCGCCTCGAGATGCATGGCGGCGGAGAGCAAATGCAACGTGGCGAGCTAAAAGTAGAATGCAAAGGATGACACACAGTCGGACAGTATTTTGGTCACTTGTCAGGAACGAGGCGCGGATTGTCATCTTGGCATAATCTTGGCACGGCTCAAGAGGCTTGGGTGGGGTCTTGGGTGCGTCCTCTTGGCGCGAAACGACGCAGCTCGTCGAGTCGTCGAGTCGTCGAGTACTTAAACCCCTCCTCCGACTCTCCTCTTTCTTTCTCTCCATCATCCCCACCATGTCTTCCGCTACCGTCCGTCACCCTCCTGCCACCTACGCTGGCGCCCCATCCCGCCCTCACCCCTACTCCCGCTCCGCCCAACCATCCTCCCACCACCGTCGCAGCCCTCCGCGCGACGACCGCGACTTTCCCCCCTCGCCACCACGCAGCCACCACGATGCCGCCTCCCCCCCCTTGCAAAAGGCCTCGGTAGACCAGAGTGACAACTACTGGGAGGACGTGCCCCCCGCACCCGCCAGCCTCAAGTCGATCCTCGACTCGTTCCGCCGTTCAGGCGAGGGCGACCGTGACCTCCTCATGGCCATTCTCCAGGCCAAGAAGAGCGAAGAAGAGCGTCTCACCGCCATCATCCAGACCCGCCTCACCATTCTCCAGGCCCGTCTCAACATGGCTGCCATCCAGGCCCAGATGCCCGGCCCCGTTCCCGCAGACGCATACCCTCCCGCATACCCTCCCGCTACCGCCCGCGGCCCCGGCCCCGAGCCCACCTCTGCTCGCCAGGAGCGCACTTCGAGCTTGTCGTCCAGCGTCTCTGCCGCTACCTCGCCCCCCAACGCACCCTACTACTACTCGCACGGCCCGGAGCGCATCCACCTCCCCCCACCCATGGGCTACGCCGACCGCGAGCGCCTCCCGCCTATGCGCGAGCGTGAGCGTGAGCGTGAGCGCGACGTGCGCGAGCGCCGCGAGTCGGACCCAAGGGACCGCCGCGACCGCCCTGCCTCCCCACGGGAACCCGCCGGCGGCCTCGAGATGCTCCTGGAGGGTGTCCGCGAGGCCGAGCGCAAGGAACGAGTGTAAGCTGTAGATTGGGTTTAGATCTTCTCGGTCACTAGTTGTTGTATCTATCTACGCAGCCTTGGTTGTATCGTTTTGCATGTCACCAGCGTGATGCTTTGAGCGTTCACAAGCGTGGAGGCTGTGTCACCGTACCGAACAAGCCACTTGTTGCTGAGACATTCCAACAGCCCGTCCATGCCGTTCACGTACGTCGTCGGGACATCTGGCCTCGACGCCCACAATTCTTCTCGTCCCCTTCGCTAGCGAGCTCGCTCGCTATCGACACGGCCCACGGCCGAACCCCGAATGCCAAGCTCCCACATCGGAGAACATGACATCTGCCCTCTGCTCCACACGCGCAGGTTTACAAGGGCGCCGTGTATCTTGGCGGCCCACCGCCCCATCGCAGCAACACTTGGCGTGCCACTGTCGGCACTTGGCACGGTGCCTGCTGGCCAAACCACCCGCCAAGCAATGCGCCTTTCATAGGCAGGGCTGTCTCGGGCCTCTCTGGGCCCCGCATGCCAGCGACAGCCATGCAGCTAGGTCGTGCCAGCCAGGCAAGCCAGCCAGGCCGCATGCACCCAGCAAGCGAGCGGGGGAGATTTGGTGCCCGCAATTCTTGGAACAGAGGGCTTGGCGCCGCATTGCGGCCAAGGGACGCGAGGCTTGGCGCGGCGGCAGTACGCGATTGGCGGCTTGGCTGCCGCCCGCTGCGGCTCGCTGCCGAGGCGTAGATGTCATTCTCATATCAGGGCTGTCGGTGATCAGTCAGACGACCATGCGCAATGTACATGTCCATATCTTACAGGGCGAGCCGGCGAGGCCGCTAACGATTTGTTGGCTCGGCTCGGTGATGGACAGGGCGGCGGCGCCTGCGCCACGTCCGCCACGCGATAGGCGATTCTCGGCCTTGGCCTCCACTGGCATGCCTCACGCCTCACGCCTCACGCCTCACGCCTCGACGCTCTTCATCTCGGCGAGGATGCGCTCGATCGCGCTCTTGCCGAGCGGCACCCACGCCCAGCGGCCTGCGCGCCCGTCGGGGTCAGACTCGGCGACCGCGACGAGCCCGTGGTCCCGGAACTCGCCGAGGAGGGAGTTGAAGCGGTCCTCTTCGCGCGCGATGAAGCGGTCGCGCGCGAGCTTTTGCAGCAAGTCCGCGTCCATGGCGAACGCGGGCGCCGTCGCCGCCGGCCGGTGCGCGACGTGCATTCCCGGGTCGGAGGGCAGGGCCTCGAGCTGCCGCGAGAGGATGAGCTTGAGGAGCCGCGCCGCCATGGGCGGCACAGAGCGCAGGATCTGCATCGCGCCCTCTTCGCTCACCCCCGGCTGCCCGCCTTGCCCGAGCGCGCCGAGCGCCGTCGCGCTCAAACGCGCGTACGACAGCTCGACGTCGTAGTCGTCGTACGTCGCGATGCAGTGGTACACCCAGTTGAAGCCACGCGAGGCGGGGACGGGGATGTACTCGTCCCCCTTGCGGCGTGGGCGCGGCGCACGGCAGGCGTGTGGAGGGGTCGCTGTTGCCGTCGTTGAGAAGAGAAGAGGTGTGTTGACGTGGTCGAACGTAGCGATGATGTGGATGCCGGGCGAGCAGGCCAGGAGGCTTAGCACTGCCATAGCTTTACTCGCTTTCAGTGCTGGAGCGTCGATGTTGTGCAGGATCAGGTAGAGGGGGCGGGAGCCTTCGGTCGAGAAATGCGCGTAGAGGCGGTGAGCGGCGCGCTCGAGCGGCGATGCGCCCGGCGGGGCAGGCGCGTCGGGGATGGACAGGGCGTCCTCGAGCGACGAGAGGACGTCGCGGAGGTTGAGGCCAGGAAAGTAGCCGTTCACGACGGCGCAGTGTCCGCGCTCGCTGAGCCGCGCAACCATGCAGTTCACGAGGCGGCGCTTCGACCCGAATCCGTACAGGAGGAGGTTGAAGCCGGCCTCGAGCTCCGCCTCCCACTGGGCAAAGTAATTCTCGGCGTCGTCCATCGCGCTGCGCACGCGCGGTGTCGCCCCGCGCGCACCGACTGCCGTCTCCTCGTACTCGGCCTGCGATAATGGCGCTGCGAGGGACACGTACGACTGCCCGCTCGTCTTGGCCCCGCGAGACGCCGCCATAAAGTACGCGTCGGCGCGCGACGGGCGGATATACCCGTCGTCGCCCCGCTGCAGGACGGGCTTCTTGCGCCCCGGCGTGCCCGTGCCCGGCGTGCGCGGCTTGCCCGGCGTGCGTGGCGTCCCGCGCTTTCGGCGGCTCGGCGTGCCGACCAGCCCGACGCGCTTCGACGGCGTCTGCGGCATCTCCTCGTCGTCGTCTACCTCGTCCGGCGGCTCGCCCTCGGACGCGCTGTCCGAGCCGTCGCCGTCAGAGTCCGAGTCGTCCGCCCGCTCCGCATACCCCGTCAAGAAGGAGACGAGGTGCGGCGCCGACACCGGCGCTGATGTCGATGCCTCGGATTCTTCGGGCGTCGCCTTGCGAGCCCGCTTGCGCACTGGGGCCGGCATTGTGGTTGCAATGATGTAGGTGTTGGATTGTTATTGTTCGCACAGGGTGACTGTACTTTCGATAAATTTGGTTCCGCGCACAAGTCAGACGCGCCTCTCCTCCACATTGAACGCGCCCAGTCGCGTCACCTTCCTTGACAGTGGCGACACCGCATCGCGTTCTTCTCCCATCTACTCGTCGCCCGCTATGCCGTCTTCGCCGAGCACTCGCAAGAGTCAGGGGAGCCAGAAGGAGTCGCAGGAGGACAAGCCCAAGAAGGCGGCGGCGCCGAGGAAGCCAGCTGCGGTGGCTGGCGCTGATCTTCGTGGCTGGGTGAGCTTGCGAGCTGGCAGCGCTGATGGAAGTTCAAGCCTGGAGCGTCAAGTGGATCAGCGCCGTCCAAAGCCAAGGAGGAGGTCAAGCCCACGCCGAAAGCAAAGGGCACAGGCGACGAGCCCATCATGATCGGTGCGTACGCAGTCGCATCCACTCTGACCGTAGACGAGAGCGATGACGATGTTCCGGTCAAGAAGCCTGCGTGAGTCGCTGCACATGCCCGCCTTGATCCAGCTAACCCCAGATCACGGTGTGTATCATGCCTCCACACTTGCTAACCTTCAGTGCTCCGCCCAAGTCGGCGCTGCCCAAAGCCGGGACAACCAGCAAGCACTTCTCAGCCGCGTCCAGCTCGGTGTGTACGCTCTTGAGGTTGGCTAACCCATGAAGAAGAGAGCCGTGAGGGTGGAATCCAGCCCCGAGCCAGAACCGTCACCGAAGAAGGTGCCCTCCAAGACATCGACCCCCAGAGCGGCAAAGTCGGCAGCCAAGCGCACCACCTACGTCGAGTCCTCAGATGAGGAGGAGGCCAAGCCGAAGCGGCGGACTCCTGCCAAACGTGCACCATTGGAGAGCGAGGAAGAGGCGCCCCCTCCGAAGAAGATGCGCGGGAAAAAGGCGCCGTCCAGCGACGAGGAGATGAGCGAGGACGACGTCAAGCCGAAGCGGGCCGCAGCGAAGAAGTCACCCAGCGAGAAGCCAGCCGCCAAAGCTCCTCCAACCAAGAAGCCGCCTGCAAAGGCCCCGCCAGCCAAGGCCCCAGCCAGCAAGGACAAGAAGCCGGCCGTCCACAACGACGACGACGAGGAGAAGAAGCCCGCAAAGCCCAAGTGTGTCTTCCTTCGACTATCCACTGACGCCAGTTTCTATGCCATGGCGGCGCGGCGTGCTGCGGGTCCAGCGGCTCCGGGGTCGAAGGAGATCCCTGACGGCGATCCGACGGCACTTGCTGGACTCTCATTCGTGTTTACGGGTGAACTGCAGTCGCTGGGGCGTGACGATGCCATCGAACTCTGCAAGCGGTACCACGGGTGAGCCCAGATAGGAAGATTGCGCTTACGCCAGGCGCGTGGTTGGGACTCCGTCTGGCAAAACCGACTATGTCGTCGTAGGCGAGAACGCGGGCGCGTCAAAAATCGCAAAGATCAAGGAGAAGAAGCTCAAGACGCTCACGGAGGACGAGTTCCTCGACTTGATTCGCACCCGCAAGGGTGAGCTCGACGAGGCACAGCAGAAGGCTCTGGAGAAGAAGGAGAAGGAGGTGATCAAGGCTGCAGAGGAAATGGCACGGCGCGAGGAAGAGGAGGAGAAGCTCCGGAAGCGCAAGGAGAAGGCTTTAGCGGGGACAGGCGTGGCTGCCAAGTAAGCTCGCTGGGCAATGATCATGAGCTGACGCGCAGGAAAACTGCGCCTGCTTCAGCACAGCTCTGGACGACCAAGTACGCGCCGAAGACGATCAAGGAGATCTGCGGCAACAAGTCGAACATTGAGAAGCTGCAGACCTGGCTTGCCAATTGGCAAGTCTCGACCTCGTGCTTCAAGCTGACCTCGCAGGCAGAAGAACTACAACTCGTCATTCAAGAAGCCCGGCAAAGATGGCAGCGGGTTATTCCGGGCCGTCCTGATCTCTGGACCACCAGGCATTGGGAAGACTACGTCCGCGCACATTATCGCACAGGAGTCGGGATACTCGCCGCTCGAGCTTAACGCTAGTGATACGCGTAGCAAGAAGCTCCTTGAGAATGGGACGAACATCGACAACACCTCCCTGGACGGCTTCTTCCAAGGCAAGGGTGTGAAGGTGAGTTGCGAACTAGCACATCTGCTCACATTCTCAGAGCACCACCGTCACCGACCTCAATCTTAGCAAGAGAACATGCTTGATCATGGACGAGGTCGACGGCATGTCGGCGGGTGACCGCGGCGGCGTCGGTGCACTAAATGCCCTCATCAAAAAGACGAAAGTGAGTTCAGGAGTCCCGCGTTCGCTCATGCCAGATTCCTCTTATTCTCATATGCAACGACCGCAACTTGCCGAAGATGAAGCCGCTCTGGGGCTCGACTTTCAGCCTTGCTTACAGGCGGTGAGTGCCAGGCAAATTCCGCGCTGATAGCGAGACCTGGCCCGCAAGAGATCCGCTCGCGTATCTTGTCGATCTTGTTCAAGTAAGTCCTAGCCGCCCGCCGATGCTTAGCTGACAACCAGGGAGAAGCTCAAGATTCCAGCAAACGTTGTGGACGAGATTGTCAAGGGTACCAACTCAGACATCCGACAGGTGCTCAACATGCTGTCAACGTACAAGCTGGGCAAGAGCGAGATGGACTTTGACGAAGGCAAGCAGCTGTAAGTATTAGCTCTTCCTAAAACCGCAGTGCTGACCGCCCAGTATCAAGATGAATGAGAAGAACACGATCATGACGCCGTTCACGATCACCGACAAGTTGTGTGGGCCATACTCGTTCTCCCGCACAAGTAAGGAAACGCTCAACGACAAGATGGACTTGTACTTCCAAGACTTTTCGTTTATCCCATTGTTTATTCAGGAGCACTACCTCAAGACAAATCCAGCGAGGATTAACCACCTCGATGGCCATGAAAAGGACTTGAAGAATCTCGAATTGATCAGCAAAGCGGCCGACGCAATCTCTGACGGCGACCTCGTCGATCGCCTCATCCACGGTGGTGAGCAGCATTGGTCGCTCCTTCCGTTGCATGCCGTCAACTCGACTGTGCGCCCGGCCTACCACATCTTTGGGACAAACCGCTCGACGAACGGCGGCGGCTGGGGAGGTCCCTCGTTTCCGCAGTGGCTCGGGCAGAACTCGAAAATGGGCAAGCTGCAACGCGAGCTCACGGACATCCAAATTCGCATGCGCCTCCGAGTCTCAGGCTCGCGCGACGAGATCCGACAGCAGTACATGCCGCTGTTGGCGGGCAAGATCGTCAAGCCGCTCATGGACGATGGGTCCGAGGCGATTGATGGCACGATTGAGACAATGGACGAATACTTCCTTGGCAAGGAGGACTGGGATGCGTTCGTCGAGCTTGGCGTGGGCGACATGGCCGATGACAAGATCTTGAAGAAGATTCCTTCGGCCACAAAAGCGGCATTCACGCGCACCTACAACAAGCGCGACCATCCGATCGCATTCCACAAGGGCGACATGTTTGCGGCCTCGCGCAAGAAGATTGCAGCGGAGAAGGAACAGCCTGACAACGAAGACGTGTTCGAGGACGACGCGCCGCCTCCCGACGACGACGACGACAAGGGCGATGACGAGGTCAACGACGTGAGCAAGGACAAGCTCATCAAGGCTGTCGGTCAAGGCAAGGGTAAGGGCAAGGCCAAGGCGCCAGCGGGCAAGAAGGGGGCGAAGAAGTAGGCGCGTATAGCATAAGCATAGACTGTCACTGGTTCTTGGATGTAATCATAGTCGTTGATACGGGACGTCACTCCGTTCTTCGATGGGCCACTGCAGCCGCTCTAATTATCACCAGACGGTTACGCGTGTTCACCAGCCTCGACGTGAGCAGAGGGGGCACGAGCACGCGCCTCAGCTCGCAGCAGGAGAGGAAGACGAGGGCAAGCCAGAAATAGGCAGTGCGAGACAGAACGGGAACGGAGTCGGGTGGTGACAGAAATAGCTTGGAGCTCAGGCCGGCTAAGATCATGCGTGGGACCTGATTGCGACTGCCGGCAGCGGCAAGCGCCGTTGCAAAGAGGCGGGCGTGTTCAGCTGAGAGAGCGTCAAGGGGTCGCGCTGTGATTGCGGCTGGCAACACGCTCCTTGGTCTCACGACGACGCCCCTCCTATCGTATACACATGCATGGTCTACGCAACACGTCCTGGAAACAATTACGGGCGGGGCTCGCGGGGCTCTGTGCGTCAGCATGTATGTGCGGGAGCATGGCTGCCTGACTCACGCGACCACGAAACGTTGAGGATCAGACTGTCGTAGCCGTACCCGTTCATCTTTTCGAGCGCGGCCTCGGCGTCCTTGCGGCTCTCGAAGGAGACAAAGCCGAAGCCCTTGCTTTCGCGCGTCTCGCGGTCGCGGACGACGTTGGCGCGGGCGAGGCGGCCGCCGCGCGCGAACGGCTCGAAGAGGGCGCGCAAGTCGTCGTCCTGCGCGTCGACCGAGAGCGACGTCACGCGCAGCGTGGGCAGGTCGTCGCGCGAGCGGAACATGGACTCGCCGGCGCCGCCCCCGCGCTGCCCCGGCGGGATGTAGCGGCCAGTGACGCCCGAGCCGGGCGCCGCGAGGCCGGGGCGCGATGCCGCCTCCTCCTCCGGGTCGAGCGCGGCTGCGGCCGAGTCGAGCTCGGCCAGCTCGTCTCTGAACGGACACTTGGCCGTGAAGTGCGGTCCCTTGCACAGGCGACACACGACGGCCTTGACGGGCGCCGCGGAGGCCGCCTCCTTCGCGGCCGCTTCGGCGGCCGCCGCATCCGTCACCTGCCGCGTCACGGGCGCGATCTTGAAGTGCATGTTCTCCCCGATAATCGTCGTCTGGCGGTCAGGGCCCGCGGGCTTGCCCTTGTCGCTGCCGAACCTGGGGTCAGCGAGTTCCAGCTCCAGCCCCGGCTCCAGCTTTGAGCGAGCCGCAAAACCACTCACTTCGCCCAGTGCTTGCGCTCCGCAATCGAGTGCGACACCATCGAGGTCTGCACCTTGCGGCGCACCCTCCGCGTCACCTTGACCTTCTTGTCGTTCTCATCAAGCTTCCACGAGATGATCGTCGTGATCCCGTCCGCGCCCGTCGTCTCGGTGGTGGGTGGGAGCTCGACTGTGGTTAGTAGGTTGGGTGGGGTGGGGTGGGGGGGAGGAATGGTGGTGGGAGAAGGGCGAAAGGGGAGGAAGACAGCGCGAGGCGGATGGAGGGTGCCAACGAGCGATGCAGAGGCCCGACGGGGCCTCTGACGACGGGCCGTCTCGCGCAGAATCAACCTCCCTCGCTGGCACGGAACCACGGCGCATCCGCCGCCGCCTGGCCGCGTCTGCATCCGCCGCCGATCGAACGGTGCCGCCAGCGGGCGGACAAAGCGTTCTCCTAAACGTCTGTCGTGGCAGCTCGTCCACTCGGGTGCACAGCTTGCAGCACGCGGCGCGTGGGCCGCCACGTCACGCCACGTCGTGGTGCGTGGCACTCGCGTCGCTCCTTCCCCGCACATGGACACTCTGCGCGGCACGGCGACACTCACTGTCCTCGTCGGCCCAGTCGTTAAGCCTGCCGTTAGCGACTGCGCGCGGTTTCTCCTGCAGCGGCCAGTTTCGGCGCGCGGCCGTTCTCCTGCAGCGCCAGTTCGGGCAGCGGCTGCGCGCACCTGCGCGCACCTGCGCGCACCCGCTCTCGCGTCGTGCTGCGCCGCGCTACTCACTTTGTGCTGGCCATTTTGGTGTATGTGCTGACACCTCGCCGACTTCTTTTGTCAATCCACCCAGAGGAACGAGCGGTGGCAAAATCGACTGCCACGGCCGGAGGTTCGGGATTTCGCGTCCACGTGGGATCCATAATACTGCTACAACTCTAATCCTAATGCCCACATGCAATGTCCCCTCCCCAGATACCCAGATACCGTACTACGCGTCGTTGTACTTGTCCTTCCAGACCCATGCGAGGCCCGGCGTGTTCGACCCGCTGCCGATCGCGGCGCGATACCACTTGGCCGCTTCGCGCGTGTCCTTCTTCACGCCGTTCATGCCTTTCGAGAGCACGAGGCCGAGTTGCTCCTGCGCAGCCATGTCGCCCAGCGAGCCGGCCATGCGGAGGTACTCGAGCGCAATGTCCGAATTGCGGCGCGTGCCCGCGCCGTCCAAGTAGCAGTTGCTGAGCTCGAACAGACCGACAGCAAGGTCGCGGGGCATCTGGCGCGCAGTCGCGGGAGGAAGCAGTGTGCCGACTGCAGCGCGCAGGTCGACAATGCCCTCCGCCAGGCCGCGGTCGCACGCCTCACTAAGCTCGGTGAAGGCACGTCTTTCGTCGCGCCCAATGCCCAATCTGAAAGTTAGCACACATTGACGTAGAGCATGAGCAACGAAGCCGTACTCACCCATGGCGGAGTGCGATGCCCCAGTGGATCTGGCCAGTGACGCTGCCGAGCTCGGCTGCCTTCATAAAGAACCACGCCGACTTGGGCTTGTCGCCCGCCTCACGGCGCTGCAAGCCTGCAGAAACGAGCTCCTCCGGAGACATCATGTCGGCCTCGCCGAGAGTGGGAACGCGGTTGTACTGCGCCGGGCGCGATTGCGTCGCGGACGAGTCGGGCGATCGCAGACCATGGCGCCCCGGCGTTGTAAACAGGGCGTCATCGGCACTCGGGCGGCGCGGATACTTGATCTCGGAATCGAGCCGAGGGCGCGCCTCTGGCGATCCGCTCGGTGATGTGCCGTTCAACTCGTGCAGTGGCACGCGCGCAAACTTGCCGCGTGGGAAAGTGCCCGGGGAGGCATTGCGGTCAGGTGTGCGGGATGGCGAATCGCCGAGCTCATAAAACGAGTAGGCTGACTGATGCGAGACGCTCTTGCTCATCGTGCTCGCTTTAGCGTCTTTTACGGAAAGCATAGCTGGACCCTGGCGAGGGGGTGTTGCGGTAATAATGACGACTGGCGGCAGGGGCTGTTCCTCGGCACCACCAAGGTTTGAGGTTGAAGACATGTTTGTTCTGTGGTCGTCATGCACGTTGTTTAGTGTGACATCCGCAGCGGCATTAGGGGATGGCGAGTTGCGGTCTGCGGCACCGCCGACACGCGGTTTGCCTGGAGAACGGCTTCGGGTCACCTCGACGGGGATGACAGTGATGCCGCCTCCGGGAGGAGGAGGTGGCGCTGGGCGGCGAGGGATGACATACGGTCTTCTCTTCTTGGTTCTCCGGCGCTCGGGCGCGGGTGCACTTGCGCCTTCGGTTCCAGATGAAGAAGAGTCGGCTGCTGGTGGTGCACCAGCATGGTCGTTGTCGCTTGACCTGGAGGGGCCTGCACTTGACGAGGAGCCAGATGCCGAGCCACTGACCAGGCTCGCTGCCGAGTTGGCGGCTCTAACACCCACGGCACTGAGTCTGCGCGACAGTCTTGCGAGGCGACGCTGCCCACTCTGCTGCTGCTGGTCGGAAATGGTGTCGGCATGCGGGGCATCCGAACTGTCGAGCCATTCAAAGTCGTTCTCGTCGTCTCCCCAGTCTGATCCCTGCTCTCCGTGCACGCTCGCCCAGTCGGGGGCAACGGCCGTCTCCGGGTAACGTGGGCTTATCGCGAGATGTGCGACGGGGCTGGCGGCATCTCTGGGAGACGATGAGAAGGGCGCCGGCTCGGAGAGGGCTCGAGTGGCCGAGTATGCCAGAGATTCTGTTGGTGACGAGGATACTGACGTTGAGCGTGCGGTGCGCACAGGAACTGCACGGAGAGCGAACGGCCCTTCTGACACAGCGCTGCGCAATGTGCCAGGCGCGTAGGGTAGGGTAGGAGCGTCTGGGTCGGTGCGGTGTTGTTCTGAACGGGCGAGCGCCGCGGTCGGTGTGGCAGCGCCAGATGTGACAGGGGAGTTGGTGTTCGAGCCTACGAAACGGCGTGCGCGAGGCGTTGACGGTGTGGAGAACACGATCACGTCCGTTTCGTCGGGAGAGGTGTACGAGTCATCAGGAGATTCAGCTGGCGAGAGAGGAGCGACTGTATCTGATGACGACGACGCGGGTTCTGCGGCAAAGGGGTAACCATACCGCTCGCCGCCGCCAATGGTGGAAAGAGAGTCTCCGCTTTCGACAGAGTAAATGGACGGGGAGCGGAAGAGGTTGAGGTTCAGGGGGGGAATGGCGGCTGGTGCAGGCGTGACAGAAGACTGTGACTGGAGGGGAGAGGAGGTCGATGGTGGAGAGGCGGTGGTCTTGCTGAATGGGTCGTTGGCGAGTTCAGTGAGGGGGGAGTGGACGAGGCCGAGCTGGTCGAGGGGGGAGTAGGGAGAGGTGGCGGCGATGTTGATGTCGAGGTGGTTTACTGGCATGGCGCCCTGAAGAGTGGGGCGGCGCGCAGGGATGGACGCCATGGCGATGGGAAGTGGTGAGGACGACGACTTGGGGATGGTGGGATGAAGAGAGTGTCAAGGAGAGAGAGAGAGAGCGAGGGAGAGAGAGTGTGTGATGATGATGAGAATGTGTCGAAGCGGGAGGATGAGTGGATGGAAGAGAAAAAGAAGGAGGGATTGAGGGTCGCGGCGCGGCGCGCGTTGTTCGGCGGCGTTGTTTGAATAGGAATCAAGGTATTCAACGGCTGGCGCCGCAGCCGCGTTCCGGCCGTGTTTTGGTCGTGTTCCGTGATCTAATGGGTCTAGTGCACTACTACTTGGGAGCTTGGTAGTGATCCGGCACAGGGTGTTCTTCAACGCGGCGCGCGGTGCCGAGTTATGTCTCGCAGTGGCTTGGGCCTTAGCTGGCTGGATGATCAATGAGCTGCGGGTGATGACTGTCGCGTTTTGATGTTTGGTGTTGGGGGGTGCTGCGGAAGCTGCTGCGGGGAGAGGGGGGGAGAGGGGGGGAGGGGTGAGGCGATGAAAGAGAGACGACGAGGCAACAGAGTAGATGAGCGAGAGAGATGTGGCTGATGGATGTTTAACAGAGTGAGGAGGCAGAGGGGTATTGAGGGTAACAATGTTGATGGATCCAGGTAACGCACAGACGATACAAGACCGGGGGGAGCAGCTAGAGGTCAATGTAGAGGAAAAAGTAGGAATGGAACCTCTGCACTACGAGGCGTACACGAGGGTGGTGGCGGAGGCGGCGGGGGCGGCGGCGCGGAAAGGGAGGAGCACATGGAGCTTGCGTACTCCTCTTGACTCTCTCTACTCGGCCTTGCACAGCCACACTCAATTCAACATGGATCTTATTCCACCTATTGCCCCCCCGTTTCATCAATCACCATGCCGAGAACTCGTTATCCCATTGCCTCATCCATCTTCGCCTTGCATACATCCATGCCAACATCATGCCCTCATCGCAATCCTCTTCAGATCTTGCGCAAGTGCTGCTCGGCACATCATGTGATCCGAGTGAGACGCTAATTGTCAGTCAGACTCCAGCCTCGACTCCAGCCGACGAGTGGCCAGAAGAATCGGCTCGCGCTTTGCGCCTCGCGCCTCGCGCCTCGAGCCTCGAGCCTCGCGGCAGACTTGGGCTTCCAGCCTGCATGGAGACAACATGCCGGCCAACAAAGTCCAGAATCCATCTTTTTAGTCTACATTGCACCGTGCCTGTCGGTGCCGTGGAGCTGGAATTGGGCTACGCGTACCTATTGTGAGTGCATTAGAAAGGGAGCGAGGCGTTGTGTGCATGTGCCAGCGGGGTGGAGCCGCCCAACGTCAGCAATCTTGTAGAGGCTACTGTAGATGTATTGACCGAGTGTTGAATAATGGTGTGCGATGCCCGCCCCCGGCGCGCGCGCCTGGAAACTCGGAGAGCCGAGACACGGGGCCTGGACTCGCGGACTCGGACCCCGACTCGGCGCCCATTCTACAAGCCCTGAAGAAACTCGCTGTCATCCGACAGCCAACAGCGCGCAAACTGCGCTAATCTGACTGAACGCGCGCAGCACGGGTCAGTCCGTCGGAGAAAGGGAGCGAGCTATCAGCTGTCATCTGTCCTCCGTCAGCTGTCAGGCTGCACAGATCACGCGACAAGTAGCTAGCGCACCATGCTCGAGGCGTGACGAAAGCAGCCAGCAGCCAGCCGCGGTGACAGCGCCAAGTGCTCCCTGCCTCCTGCTTCCTGCTCCTGCTTCCTGCCTCTCCTGTCCTTCAACTATCATGTTGCGCCACGCGACGTAACGTGTAACCCGTTACGCGCCGACGCGCCGCTGGCCGGCTTGTGGCGCTCAGCTCGACCCTTTCATCTTCAGAGTGCCCGTGTTATGATTACGGCTGCCACGCGCCCGCCATGTGCCAACATGCCAGGTGTTACCTTTGCACCTTTGGACGCGTACGTAGTAGACATTGCAGGTTGGCAGGATCGCAGGGGCGCGGCATACGCGGATGTTGTCATCCAAGGGATGGCCCCCTGGCTCTGCACATAATCTCACACGAGGTGAGTCCACGCGCGGGTGATGCAAGCATGGTGCGTGGATGGGTAGGAACCCTGTGTCCGCGCTCTTCTCTTCTGTCCTCTACTGGCTCACTGGCATGCTGGCAGCTGGCAGCTGGCAGCTGGCAGCTGGCAGACAGCGCGTGGATGTGCTAGAAATGGGCGAGCAGGCCTGGACAACTAGCCTGCACGGTGTGCTCGAGGACGCGGCACATGGTCACCTTGCAGGAATCGTAGCGGCCCACGAGCTATTGATAGTCCGCGACACGTCAAGACATCGCAGCCGATGCACATGCTTTGCATACCTTGACGCGTGCGGTTTGCTGAAATTAGAGCCAGCGCAATAAGCTTTCCAGGGCTGGACCACGCGCACCCGCCACGTTCCAAACTAACCAGCAATAGCTCGCATATATGCATACCACGGACGCCGCAGAGATGTTGTGTCCGCTAGCTGCTAGGTGAGCTTGCAGACGAAAAACGGAAGAAAAAGCAACAATACGTTTCCGAGGTCATGCTGAGTCGGCACAGGACGCAAGCACAAGTGCACAAGAATGCGAGCAGAAACAACGGCATCGTGCAGGATAATGAGGGATAATGTGGGATAATGTGGGATAATGTGGGAAAAGAAACTTGTAAACACCCCCCCCTTTGTCGGCCTCTTTTCGCCTCTCACCCTGGCTCATCTCCCCTTCCCTTGGCCCCCTCATCCGCCGCCTTCCCCGCCTGCAAGTGCCACCCACCCCAGGCTCACTACCAGAACATCGCTCCTCACTCTCCTCCTCACTCTCCTCATCATCCTCCTCATCCTCATCATCCTCCTCCCCCTCCTCCATCCATCCTCTCTCCCCTCCCCTCCCCCCCTCATTTGCAACTCATCCTCTACCCTCAACCACGCAACCCAAACAACGCCCAGCGCCACCAATCCATTCCCCCTCGCCGCTTATCCCCACACACCCCTGCCCCTCCTCTCAGCCTCAGTCCCCTTCCGACTCTCATCCCATCCTTCCACCCTCTCTCCCGCAGCTCCGTCGCGAACGCAACTCATTCACCTCGCACAGCGCACATTACTCTCCCATCTCCCTCTCCCTCTCCCACTCCCCTCTCTCCTCTTCGTGACTGCCCAAAGCCAGCAAAACCTCACCTCCCACCTTCTTCTCAACCCCCCCCCCCCCCCCCCCCCCCCCCCCCCCCCAACCCCTCCGCAGTCAACGCCTCCGCGTCAGATCTCGTCGCGCGCGCCCGGTCCCTTGTTCCGCCACGCGCACACACCACCCGCCAGCCTCAACAACAACAACAACAACACCAAGAACAACAACAACCACACCACCTCACCTAGGTCTCTGTCCACGCGAGAGCGGACATGAAGTCGTTCCGCCGCTCGCAAGGTCATGGCAACGGCCACTCGCATTCCAACTCGCACGGGCAGGCGGGCCCAAGCTCTGGCTTCCGCCCGCCCGTCCCCAACGGCCCCGCCCCAGCCTTTGCCAATCCTCTCTCTCGGCCTACGGAGCGTGTAGCACCGCCCCAGAAGGTTATCAAGGCTCTCGCGAGCCACCGCAGCACCAACCCCCAGCAACTCAGCTACTCCAAAGGCGACTTTTGGTATGTCATCGGAGAACGCGACGAGTGGTACGAGGCATTGAGTAAGTCAAGCAAGCACAATTGTCTTCGACCTTGACACACACACTAACCTCTCTCTCTCTAGACCCCATCACCTCATCGCGCGGTCTCGTTCCGAAGAAGGACTTTGAGGAGTTTGCAAAGGGTGGACGCCAGCACCAGGTCGGGCAACCTACTTCGCCCACCGCGCCCTCAATTCCGGATCAGTGCGTTGCGAGCGCGCCTGACGCGTGTTTCACGTCAAGCCCTAAGAGTTGTCGCTGACTCCAGCACCCGATCTCTCTCCAATTCGCACGCTCTTCCATCCAACAGTCCCATGCACTCGCCAACTGCCATGATGGGTCCGACGTCAGCACCCACCACTCCAGGCAACAAGCGTGTGTCCCCGTGAGTTCTACACGCGTCGAGAGCGCCTTGCGAGAGTGTCTGTGCGCAGTCTGACCCCCAGCTTGTACGCTATTGTGCAGTATGACTTCCACGCCGAGCGCCCCGACGAGCTCCAGGCCAAGGCGGGAGAGCCTATCGTCGTTATCGCGCAGAGTAACCATGAGTGGTGAGTTGAGCGCTCTTGGCATGCGCAATCTGACAAGCAGGTTCGTCGCAAAGCCCATCGGCCGCTTGGGTGGCCCAGGCCTGATTCCTGTGACGTTTGTCGAGATCCGTGACCCAGTCACTGGCTTAAGACTCGACTCGTTCCCCACCAACATTCCACAGGTGGAAGAGTGGAAGAAGGCGACGGCCGAGTACAAGGCTGCCGCCATTCCACTCGGCCGACTCGACCTTCCACCCGACCAACGCGTTACCAACTCACCGTTCCAAGCGCAGGCGAACTCTCAAGGCGGTGGTAGCGCAGTGCCATCTAACCGGGCGTCGCAGCGGACACAGGCTTCTCAGCGGACGCGCTCGTCCGCGGGCAGCGCGACTGGCCTCGGCGCCGGACCTGTTGTTGGCGGTGTGGCTGCTGGCGTGACACGCCACCACCCCGAGCCTCCGCACCCGGAGCCACAGCCAGCAGCACAGGCTGCCGACGCAGAGCCAATGCTGCCACTCGGAGAGCTTACCGAGTTGGGCGTGCCCTCGTTCCATAACGAATCTGGCAACTACTGGTTCAGACTTCATGCTGTCCATGTTCCGGATGAACCATCGGCGCCTGCGTCCAAGCTCATTCTTTATCGAACGTACGAGGACTTCTACGACTTCCAAATCGCACTCCTCGACACGTTCCCTGCCGAGGCCGGTCGGCCCGAGCACGAGGGCGAGGCGCCGCCTCCACGAATTCTGCCTTACATGCCGGGCCCCGTCGATGAGGCCATTGACGACGAGCTCACCGAGTACCGCCGTGATGAGCTTGACGCGTACGTGCGCGCGCTTCTCGATCTGCGGGGCGCGGATGCAGGCTACATCCTGCGGCACGAGCTGATCCGCTCCTTCTTTGCCGCAAAGTTCGGCGACTACTCGGAGGAGATTACACGCGAGCAAGGCATGGAGAATCTGCAGAACCTTGCGCACCGCATGAGTGCTATGAATCTGGGCGGTGGACACCAGCCCCACCACGTCAACAACCGCTCCCTCGACCAGAGCCCGATGCCGGTGTCACCGGGGCCGCAGCAGTCGCCCGTTGTCGCCTACAACAATGGGCATGCGTATGGGGGGCACGGACATGGACACACGCGCAGCGCGAGCCGGGACATTGCGAGTTCGCAAGGTCACGGGCGTCAGATGTCGGGACAGCAGGTGCACGCGCCGCAGGTGGGCCACTGGGCGAATTCGCCTGGACCAGCGTCTGGACCAGCATTTGCCAACCACCACGCTGTGCCCACGCCGCCGATGCCAAGCGCACCTGCGCCTCCGCCGCCAAACCCACGGTCGGGTGCGGCATTCGTCAAAATCAAGGTGTACGACAAGGCAACGGATGACCTGATCGCCCTCCGCGTCCACCCGCAGGTCACGTACGCCGAGCTGCTAGAGAAGGTGCGCGCGCGTCTTGGACCCGACGTCAACGTGCTCTCGTACAAGGTCGGGGGCACGAGCGGGAGCGCTGCGGCCGGCGCACAGGGGCCGACGCAGGCGATCCGCGACGACCGCGACATGGCCGAGTGGATGGCGGTCGAGGACCAGCGGTTGATCCTGTATGCGGAGCAGTGATGTTCACGAAGTCTATGATGTCCGCGATGTCCTCGAGAAGGGACACTGAAACGGCGGCCAGAGATGACCAGTGCAGTGGAATAGAGCAGAGTTGTACAGTAGTGTCGTCGCAGTCACGACGTTACGAGTCATGTCGGGAAGTAGATGGGTACTTGGTTTTGGGGATGTATTCGTGAGCGGCTGAGCTGAGTTGTGAGGGGGGATAGAGTGGGGCGGGCGACTTTTGCGACCTCCACTCCATCCGTTGAATCTTGCTGTCGCCCACACCACGCCAAGCAACATGAGCAGCCCGCCCCCTGCCCCAACTCCCACCTCGACGACACCAGGCCCCGGCCCCTCCGCCGCGGCATTCAAGCGCCGCCCCGAACGCGCATACACCGGCCCAACGGAACACGGGGCGCTGGGGCCGCGCGCCGGCGCCGGCGCGGCGGAGGCAGAACGATACTTTGCCGAGCTGCCCGAGGCGGCGCAGCCGATCATGCCGCGCACGGCGCGCGCGTTGGGGATTGGCAGTTGGGTCGTTGGCGGCGGTGAGTGCGGGGTTGGGCGAGAAGAGAGAGAGGAGGCGAGAAGAGAGAGGAGACGAGAAGAGAGAGGAGGCGAAGGAGGGATAAGTTGGAGGGAGGGGGGAGGGGGGAAGGACGAGGGAAGACGGGGGGGAAGTAGAGAGCGAGGAGCGAACGCGGCGTGGACGACGAGCCGCTCCTCATCGCTTGTGCACCGCTGACGCCAGTCGCGTGCGCGTACATGATCTTGTACGCCGACTACGGGGCGCACGAGCACGTCTTCAGTCCTGTGAGTTGGCTGCCGGCCGCGCTCACGCCAGATCCGCCGCGCGTTCCACGCGTACACCGCCGACATGTTTACGCTGTCCAAGAGCGAACGGGGGATGCTGGGGCTCGACGAGCCGCCGAAGGCGCAGGCGCTGGCTGCGGGGGCGGCGCGGGCGCCACTACCTTCATCTGCACCTGCGCCGGCGGCTGCACCAGAAGCGCCGCCGGCGAAGGGGCGGTCGTGGTGGAAGATTTGGTAGCAGCTCTGGTACATGGCATAGATGCATAGATTCGTTCCCCTGCCTGGTTGGCCTGTGTCTGTCGTGCAGCGGCGCGACGGCTTTCCCCCGCCCCGCTCCGCATCCACTCACTGCAACATGCTAATACATGGCTCGCTACGACTATACCCAGAGTCTACTCCTCTACCATCCATATCAACGAAGCCCGCGTACTGCTCGCGCGCTCGTCACCCATATCCTAGGACATCTGCGCATCACGACTCCCCTACTGCCCACCGTACACCTGCCCCTGCCCGGCATAATAGCCCTGGCCGTAATCGTAGCGCTCGTCGTCGTGCGTCGTCGAGTGCATCTGCATCTCAATGGGCAGCTGCATGCCCATCTCGAGCTCGTCCATCTGCGCAGAGTTGGCCGCCGCCATTGCCTGCTGCACCATGTTGACCTCGACATGCTCCTCGCCCTGCGCCTCGGCAGGCGTCTCCGAGGCGCTTCCAATCGGCGTGTTGTCCGTCTCCCCGGCCGCCGCCGCAGCCACCGCAGCCGCAGCCGCAGCCTGGAGCGACTGGTCGACGGGCTGCGTGTGACTTGGCCCCGCCAGAGGAATGTCGTTGGCCGACATGGACGGCGCCGATGTTGGCGGCTGGAACGCATATGACCCGTAGTCAAACTCGTCGCCCTTCTTCAGGTTCTTTCTGCGCGCCTGGCCGTTCATCTTGCGTTGGCGCTTGGCCGGTGGGCCTTCGCCTGAATTACTCGACGACATTGACACCTTGATCCCAGGGTGACCCTGCGCCAGGGCGGCAGCGGCCGCGGCCTTGTGAGCAGCGGTAGCAGCCATCTCGTTCTCCTTCTGCGCATTGAGAATGGCCTCCTCCTGCTTCATTCCACGGCCTTGGAAGCCGCCGTTCTCAAAGCGCCACAGATGGTTTTGTCGGATACGCCAACCAGCGATGCAGCCCTGGTTGAGCTTCTCGTAGTACATGTCGGCGCCCTTGCGCGCAAGGTAGGTTCGCACGCGGTGCGCCGAGCATCGCCCCTCGTCGCCGTCCCATTCCTCGGGGTAGTGCTTCCGGATCCAGTTGACAATGTCGTTTGGTTTCTGGCGTTAGAGTGATGAAGGGAGGCAAGGAAGGTGGCTCACCAGAGGCCAGTTGTCGTTGCCGTTGGACAAAAGGGCGCGACCGATGAAAAGGTTGACACTCGCGTTCGGAGGGGGCTGGTGGAGGTCAGCAAGGTGCGGCAGTGCCACAATGCCACAGTGCCACAAGTCATCACAAGTGATGGCAAACTCACAGCTGGCCAGTTGGGATTAGGCTGAGTAGCGTTAGGCGGCGCAATGGCGCGAAGCAGACGCGCCGTGGGCGATCCAGGCTCTTCCTCGGCCGCAGCATCGAGTGCGAGAGGGTCCATGGTCTCATCCTGGGTGAAGGGGAGGGGGGAGAAGTCGGCGTTGTGCGGATTGGGGGCCGAGGCGATTGTCTCGGTGATGGTTGTTGGCTCGCCCGGAATGTATGGGCGGTGATACGCAGCGAGAGTTGGTGGCCCTGCGGGTGTTGATGAGGAAGACGCTCCGTTTGAGTGCTGGTGCTGCTCAGCGGCGGCGGAGACCGGTGGGGAGACCTTGTGGGTCTGGCGCGATGATGGCGGACCAGACATGTTGGGGGAGTGGGAGGGGGGGGGGGGGAACAGAGAGGAGGAGGAGGAGGTGGTGGTTGTGGTAGATGAGGACCTGCGCGCAGTGAATGGATGGAGGAGTGTTGGCTACGGTGGATGATGGTGTGAGGAGGGGTTTCTCTCTTGTCAAGGTGTTGACAGCGGGGAGGATTGAATGGGGGCCTGGGGGTTTGTGGGATATGAGTGTTGATGGAGAGAGAGAGAGAGATGGAGAGAGAGAGAGAAAAGAAGAAGAGATGGTGTTGAGCGATGGATGAATGATGGCGAGGAGCGAGGTGGATGGATGCTGGGGATCGAGGTTGCTTGCTGCTGCCAAGGGAAGGAAGGATAAGCGGCGGCTGATGCGCCTGGGTGGGAGGAGGATTAGCCTGGGTGGGGGGATGGGAGGGAAGGTGGCACTGGAGTCTCTCTCTCTCTCTCTCTCTGTCTGACAATTGCTTCCGCTCCCAGTCATGCCTGCCCCTTTCGGCAAGCACCGCGCCAGAATTTAATCACACGTCATTATTCATTCAACTGAGGATGCATCACCGGAATTCATGAATCGGGGCAACATCATCAACGGCAGCGAGCTAGACACGAGTCATCGCCTTCTCATCTTTCGACTCGCGACTCGCTGGCAGCGCACAGACAAAGGGCGCAAGATCCGCTCCGCCCCGTTATTCTCTTTGCACGATCTTTGACACCGATCCAACAGCGTGTACACACAGTGATTCTCGTGATGCTATGATGCACAATTCTCCTTGCACCGCTGCGAGGTTGATGCAATATACCATAGCCACCCTCTTCCTTTCATCCTTGGCATTCTCTGCCATCTTTCCTTGCTCAATTGCTCCACCTCGTTGCTGAATTGCTCAATTGCTGCTGCACGTCGTTTCCCATTGTTTTTACTTTGGACTCTCAAAGTAGTGGAGGGCAGAAACCGGACTTGATGTCCAATCTCCGGCAGCTCACCCCTTTCTCGCACATGGCACACCGCGACTGTTGTCAACGAACGATCCATCCACCATCCTCAATTCCGTCAACAATGTCGCACGGTACGCTGCATGCGCCGCCGTTCTCACCACAGGTGTCCGTCGCATACAGGGCCGCTTCACGACCTCCGCATCGTCCGAGGCTTATCAGCGCCAGCTGCTCGCGCCGTGAGTTCCCCTCCTCGCTCTCCTCTCCCTCTCGCTACCATCCACGCATCCACCTTCCTCGTCCAGTTCCCTACCGTCATTCGTGCGCACACGCATCGCTAATTCCAGTGTCAAGCGCTGGCGCCGCGGATGGGTCCAGCCCGCCGGCCTCCCCGAGGGAAGCACGTACAAGGTGTGCAAATGGCAGCGCGTCGACGAGGTAAGGCTCTCCTTGACCCCCAAGTAGTTGACAAAAGATGGCTACCACTCCTTTCGAGGACGACGAGATGGATCCCGAGACGGATACCGAGGACGAGCACACCGAAGCGCCCACCGCCGCTGTCACGCCCGCCCGCCTGACTGAAACACCGGCGCCCGATCGCCTGGACAAGGTGGCCACTCCGCTAGACAAGGGCACGCCCAAGCCAAAGGAGGGTGAGGAAATACGCGTCGACGAGGTCGCCATTGAGGTCGACGTCGACGTCGTCATGGCTGAGGTGGAGCCGGCGCCGGTGGCCGAGATGCCGGAGGCGACGATCACGGAGCTTCCGAATGCGGAGGCGAAGGAGGCGACGCCCCCCGCCGTCACCCCTACGTCTGTCGAGCTGCCTGCTGCCTCTGCGCCAGTGGAGGAAGGTGCGGACACGCCCGCGGGGGCTAGTGCCGTCGTGGCTGGAACCCCTGTGGAGGTCAAGCTGGAATCTACGCTGCCTGAGGCAAAGGTGGAAACGCCTGAGGAAGCCGAGGCCGGCACGCCTGCTGTGGCCGTGGCGGACGCACACGTCGCGATACAGGAGGTTACCCCTGCCGAGGCTAAGGTGGACACGCCTGCCGAGGTCGAGCAGGCCACTCCTGCCGCTGATGCCGCGGCGCCGGAGGAGACCGAGGTTAAGGCAGAGGACAGCGCAGCGGAGACGGCGGATGTGGTGGAGGCAGAGGCAGTCGAGAAGACTTCCGCCCTAGAGGAGCAGGCGGAGGCGAAGGTCGTCGAGATCGTGGAAGCGGAGAAGGTGGAGGTGTCGGCCGCCGAGCCCGTCGCGTCCACTGAGGCCGCGCCTTCGACCGGGGTCGATGTGAAGGAGCAGGCGGAGGAGAAGGCGGGCGAGGTTGCGGAGATGGAGCAGGTAGAGGAGCCCGTCGTCGAGCCAGTAGGAATGGCTGAGACGTTGGCGGAGAAGGGTGACCTGGAGACGGAGGTTAATCTCGAGCAGGCTGAAAGCGAAGAGAAGACTGCGGAGGCTACCTTGACGGAGAGCGAGACCGAGCGCAAGCCCGACGCCGAGCCTGCGCACAAACCAGCAGCCGACGCGGTCACCGCTGCGGCTGTCGAGCCAGCCGACGCAACACAAGACGTCGACGGCGATGTCAAGATGGCCGACGAGTAGATAATTGTATGCACCCGTGTCTGTATCCCTTCGCGTCGCGAGCCTGGTACAGCAACAGCATGTAGTTCACGTAGAATACACATTACAACATTACTTCTCGCACACCGTGTCTAGAGCGGCTGCGCCCTTCGTCGGGCTGAGGTGTGGCCGCTCCTCGTCCTCGACGTCCCACTCGTCGAAAGACCGCTGGCTGCTCCCGCGCGGCAGCTGCTTGACGGTCTCCTGGGTAGCCGATCGCGGCATCACCGTCTCTTGCGTATATGAGCGCGGCAAGATTCCCGCTTGTGAGCGAGGGAGTGGCGGCAGCGTCTCTAGGGGAGACAGCGGCAGCTCGGGAGGCGACACAGGCGGAGAGAAGCTATAAGGAGAGGCAATGTCGCTCCCATTGCCGCCGCTCGCCCGTCTACTTGAGCGGTCTTCGTCCTCATCCGGCGTCTCGGCGCCGACAGTCTCGAGTGTCTCCGTCTCGGCTTCAAACTCCAGACTCGGCCGCACAGTCACAAGCTCTTCAGTGCCATCGCTGTGGTCTGGATCAAGGATGCGTGGTATGCCGCCCGACGTGTCGAGGGCGTCGACGAGCTTGGCGCTCGTCGGGGCGCTCAAACTCGCGGATCGGGGGGGAGGGAGGATCATGCCCCGGTCAGGCACAGAGATTGACGGCGGCCGGCGCGCAGTCACTATAGGTGATGGCCCGAAGGGCGAGGCGGGGGATGAGCCGCGGCGCGAATGTGACCTCGACCCCGAGAATGAGTTTGAGCCAGAGCCGGATCCAGAGCCGGAACTGCTCGACGCATGCGAGTGAGGGGAGGGCTGTGCCGACGCTGTGCGGCGGTGTGCGAGGACGCTAACTGACGTTGAGGCACCCCGCGAGTGCGAGGGACGCGGCACCGCGCTCGTTGATGCACCGCGCAAGTGACCCTTAACAGTGGGCACATCGGACGAGTACGACGGCTTGCGTGGGATGGTCGCGAACGAGGGGCGCGCGGTCAGTGTCGGCATGCGCTCCGCTTCATCATGACTGTCATCCATGGACAGGTCAAGAGTGGTGTCGGGAGAGATGTCGGGTGTGCTGTCATCATCGAATGTCGCAACGTCAACCGCGCCGCGCTGTGCAGCATGGAATGGGCGGGCCGGGTAGGGCGCACTCCTTGCCGAAGTCGAGCCCACGCGGCCGAACTCGTCGATCTCAACTGCCTCCTCTGAAAGCATCTCGGAGATGCCATCACCAGGACCATCTTCATCCTCGTCGTCCGAGTCCATTTCGGGACCAGAGATGCCCTCCGATACGCTCTCAAGTGCGCCATCCTCGTCATCACTCCACGACTGCAACTCTTCCTGCACAGCGAAGATCTTCTGCGGCAACTATCGTTAGCTAGCATCCTACGTGGCAATCTCACCTGCGCAACGCGCTCGCAGAAATCGTCGAATTCGGCCTCGGACTGAACAAGGAAGCCGAGCAACATGCTAGGGTCTAATCCAGAAAGGGGAAGTTTCTTGACGCGGTCGCAATGGAACGTCTTGAGCTTATCCTCTGGATACGCGCTCGCGTACCACGCCGTCTGTGGGTCAACTGGAAGACGCTTGCGCATTGAAGACGCCACAGAGTTGGGGATGGAGCCATGTGCTGCGTGCCGCGACGGCGCGGGAGACGCCTGCACCGACGGCGGGTGAGGGGCACTTAGGGTCGGGGTAGCAGGCGACGGTGGAGTGGTTGTTCGTGGTGGCGTCTGAGGGTCTATCCTCAGCGGCTGCATAGGCGTGAGGCGCCGAGAACGTTTGGTGCGGGCAGGCGACTCTTCAACTCTGTCGACATCCACCACGCCGAGGACGGGGACTGAGTGCGCCGATCCGGCGCTCGGGGTAGGTGAGTGGGGCTCAGCCATCTCATTGTCCTCATCTTCCTCCAAGGGAGGGCCCGACCACGAGTCGCGATGGACTGGTTCGCTTGTTGCTGCAGATAATGGGGGGACACGAGGAGGAACGGCAGGACGCGTGTAGTGGGGGTCAAGATAGAAGAGGTGGTTTGCCTGCGTCCCCACAAAGTAGTATGACGAGTCGGGGCGTCCCCCTGCAATGCCAACACTCTGTGGCCATTCAAACATGTTCTTGATCGAGTCGTAATAGATAGGATTGACGTTGTCGAGACCCAAGCGCGTTGCCACCAGGATAAGCACAGCCTGGTTCCCCCATGACGATCGATGCGTCGAGATGGGTCTCATTTTGCGGGGAGACTGAGGCTCCCAACCGTCCGTGGTCGTGTTTGATGCTGCAAAGACATCGGACTTGTAAATGATGCCGTCCTGTGCCGACACAACGCTCACGCCGCAGATGGGGAAAGAGTTGGCAAGCGATCGCAGAGCACCAGCAGCTGTGCTTGGACCGAACCACTGCCCAATCTCCTTACCAAGTTCCTTCCCGATCATGGCCATGCGGTGCACGCTGAAAGGACAGAGGGGCGAGGGGTCGTCGAGGAACCAAGAGAGAATGCGCACATGGGTAGCGTATGCTTCCAGGAGGGCGAGATCCATCGGAGTCTCAGGATGAAGCTTGGGCCGCTCCTGCGGCAGGCGCCAGCCACGGCCGAGGTGGACGTCAATGAGCGCGTTGGCTAAAATGCTTTGGCCTGTGCGCAGCATGCAACCCCATCCCGAATCGGAGGTATAAAGCGTCTCGCCCCTTAGCCATCCTCCTCGCCCAGTCGTCGGCGTACTCTGCGATGGAAGACCAGAAGGAGCATGCTCGGAGGTTGAAAACGCGCCGTAATACGCCTGGGGGGTCGGTAGCAGAGTGTTCTCGTGGAAGGGCTGGATAGGAGGATAGTTGGAGCGATATGTGCACCACACGCGCGAGCGGAAGTCATCGTAGACTGATGTCAGCGATCACAGAGATAAGTCAAAGAACCTACATCCATCCGGCCACTTGAGTATTTCCTTGTCTTTAGCCTTGTCCTTGCGGTAGCGACCAGCAGCATCGGGGGATGGAGTGGACGGGCCATCGGCCTGAGCCGCAAGATTGAAGCTCGAGCCGAAAATGGTGCTCAACTTGGTGGGAGGTGTCGACGAAGAGCCGCTCCCCTCCCTCAGGCGGTTTGACCATGGGGATGACAGCTCGCCCGAAGTGGGAGTCTCGCTGTGGAAGGGATCATCGGATGCTGGCGTCCAGCCGGGATGCTTGACGCCCATGACATACATGGCTTCCTGACAGTGGTCGGGCTGGGCTTCTGAGTCCACGAGGGTTCTCAGCCCGTTTGCAGCCTTGGTCCGGACAGCGGCAAATGCGCCCGTGAGGAAGCTGGGGCCCTTGCGTAAAGGAGATGGAGGGGTCGCTGTCACATCGTGCTGTTGTTGGGGGGATCCGCTCTGCTCGCCGCTGCTGCCTAACAGATTGGAGAACCAGCCTCGCCCTCCCGCCGTCTGCGACTGGGCATTGGGCGGCGGCTGAAGCATGAGAGGTCGCGCGGTATGGGGCGCCGATGTGGAGAACTGGCTGAGCTGGCCCGAGCTCTCACGCGGCCGCAGGGTCTGTATATTCATTCCATGTATCGAGTCTTCGTTCGTTGACGATGACGCACGTCTGACCTTCGTGTTGGAGTGATACTGCCACGAGGAGGGTTGCGACGACTCGCCAGAGGATCGATGAATGGGAGACTCGCGCGAGTGAACACGAGCCAGGCTACCCCACTTGCGCGATGCGCCGGTTTCGTTGGACGAAGCAGAAGACGAGAACGAGGACTGCCTCCCGGCCAGCGGGATCGGCAAGTTGCTCGCGGATGATGGAGGGGCATGCGCAGGGGTGTCGTCGTTGTGGCCGTTGGAGGAAGAGTTCGAGCCAGTTGCCCGGTGGAAGAGTCTTGAGGTCTTCTTAGCAAGGCGCTTGCCACGACCGTCTCGCTTCTCAACGCGAGGCGCGACCTGAACACGCTCAATGGATAGAGTATCGACAGAGCGCGAGAGGGTGCTTGCCTCGCGGCCCATGGAGGCATCGGGGTCGACGCGCCCGTTGCTTGTGCCCCCCTCAATGAGCCACTCGTCATCCTCGTCCTCGGGACCTGACACCATCGGGGAGGGCGTCGAACGACCACGGTTGTGTGGCCGGAACAAGCTGAGCTTGCGGCGGGGCTGCCCACTGCCGGCGCCAGCGCCGTCGACTGGGAGAGGTGAGTGGGAGCGCGACGAGGAAGCCTGGCTGGACACGGTTAGATGCGAGTCACGCCTCTGCGGCGAATCGATACCGCTCATCTGTGAGTCAGCAGATGTTATGGGGTGGGAGTGTGGAGGTCGAGATCCGCCACCAACGAACGCAGCGTACAAGATGAAGAGGCGGAGAGGGACGTACTGGAGCGGACTAGACCGGAATGACAGAGATGGATAGTGTCCAGGTCACGCTGGGCCGAGCGGCGACGCGTCGAGCGGCCTTGCTCCCGAGTGGAGGGCCGTGCGCTTGTGGTGACCGGGGCGGGATTCGAGTCGCCGGGGAGGTGAGAGGATGAGAGAGGTGGAGCGTATTGCTGGTTGAGAGCGAGATGGATGGAGATGAGATGGAAGTGCGAGTGATGGAGAGGAGGAGACTCGAGGAGGAGGATGGAGAGTGCGAGTGCGGATGAAGGACGCAGGAGATGAGTGTGACTGTTGGAAGGGGGGGGGGGGGTGACGTTACAGGGTGGAAGGGTGCGCTTTAGTGGGTGGCCACCCTGTGCAGAGCGATCCTCAACGCCAACACGTCGTCGGTGCCTGGCTCTATCCATCCCTCAGACTGACTGGGCCACCGCTTTCACAACTCATCTTGTCCTCAATCACTCACTCTTGCTCGCCATGAACAAGGTACTCCCCGCCGCCTCTCAACAATGCTCACCCCGAGGCAGGTATCAGCTGGCCCATCCAAGAGGAGACAAGCGACCCGCTCGCCGCCTTCTTCCAACCAGGTTCAGTGAGTCCGCCCCGCGGTGGAGGTGATCCGCATTCCAGGCCGCCAGCCGCCGGAGAGCGCCGACCAGCATAGTTGTTCATCGCTTTGCATCTACAACTCTGGCTGCGGCCATCACTTGCACTGACCTTCCTGTACGCCATGCTCATACCATCTCCGCCTGCATCCCCATCCACATCTATGGTCGCTAACGGAAGAAACTCACATGGCACTACAACTGGAACAAACGATGGGATTGCCAGCTTTTGCCGCACACCTCGCCTAACCTGCAGCTCAACGCCGAGTTCGTTCCCATGATGTGAGTTTCAGGCGGTTACCTCGCGACGGCAGCTCGGGATCAGGCGAAGGCCGATGAGGTTGTCCTCACGACGGGCATTCCGGTCTCATAAGGTCATGTCCGCACGCTGCTCTGCGCGTTCCAAAGCCGAACCGAAGCGCGTCCTGTTGCTGGTGGACTGAGGCTCTATTCCACCCTCCCTCATCTCTTTCTAAAGATTGCTTCGCCATTCTGCTGATATGCTCTGCCACGGCGCAAGCTACTCTTCAAAGCTTACCACAGCTTCGCACCGCCCTATCTCAATAACGGCGTTGATGTGCAGGGAGACTGGCAGCTCATGCTGGGTTACAATGAACCAGGTATGAACGCTGTCCCCC